TCCCCATAAATGTCAAATATCAGCCATGGGGCCACAAAAAATCCACACAGAATTCTAGAACCAGAGAAACTTTAGAGAGCAAGGGGTACATAGACACTTATAGTGTAGTCAAGAAAATTGATACCCACAGGGCGTCACACCAAGAAAGAGTCAAAACTGCAACCCTGACATCTTGAAACCAAGTTTATCGCTCTGACCATTGTTTCATGCTGAAGGTTCTCTTAGGAACCAGAGAACAGGCACAGTGGGATCTTTTTAAATTTTTGGCTCGGGAGCTTGAGGGTACAGATTTAAACTTTTGTGTTTACAGACCATCCAGCTTTTATTCTCTGTGAAAGAAAGCTCATTTAATTCCCCCAACTTTGAAAGGGCTTTCTTGACATTCTAGTGCCAATGATAAATTTCCACCCCAGATGGGTAAGAATGCAAAGCGTACAAAATCTCTGTGCTTTTCTCTACCCAGCCTTTCTTTTTAAAACAGGAGGGACTTACCTGTTCAGTTGTCAAGGGCCCAGTGCATAGTAGGGTTCATTCTATCACTTTCAAACATATCCCACGTCTTTGTAGTGCTACTATAGGCTTTGTGACCTTGTGGGACAAAGCTGCATGATTTAGAGCTATGTGATGTTTGCTGAACGTGTCCTTCTCCCTGAAATGTAACCATTTGACAGCTACTGGGCTGTTCCTAAATCCTCACTTCCCTGCACTGTTTTCTTCCACAAGCCGGACTCCAACCTTAGGCAGAGAGGTAGCTAGCACCGACGATCCGAACACCGCCAGTAGCTACATGAGTTTGTTCTCTGAGGTCTAGAGACCCAGAACACCAGAGACTGATGGAGTTCAGGGTACTTCAGGAAAAGGCTGGACTGACTAGCCAAGGATCATAGCTGAAAATGCCCGTAGACGTAGCAGTTTTAAAACTGTCAGGCTCCTGAGCCCTGGAGCGCCTTCCTTCCTTCCGTGGGATGTATCCTCTCTTCCTTCGTCTTCGAGAAGTAGTGTCCCTGAGTGACAGGCACCACAGGACCGTTCACAGCAGCAAGGCTTCACTCCAGAGTGACCCTGGAAAGGTAGCCTGTGCCCTCGGAGCGGCAGGCCGGAAGTATACCGCGTTGCCATGGCTCCTGGTGTCATCGCTAAGAGGTGTCCGTCCCCATGACAACGCATTGTCTCCAAGTTCAGAAGCTTAGCTTCCTTGCTTCAGGACAGGGCTTGGCTGGCGGGGACACTGACAGTAGGCAGCAGAGATCCTAACTGCTTAGCCAGGTGAGGGAAGCCAGGAAGGCGTTTCCGGGTCGGGGGAGCCAAAGGTGCTCACCAGCTTCCAGTGCAGGGCGTCTGAACCCAGGCGGGAAAGATGGGGCCAAGTCCCCGAGAGGGTCCATGTCTAGGAAGCAACAGTAGAAAATCCGCGGAGAAACAGCTAGAGATTTGTCCCCGGGGGAACCAAGTGCCAGGTCCTAATTCAGGGCCCTCTGTAACTGCATGGGAACAGCGTGTAGGATTGCTTAGAAAGGCGAGTTAGTCCTTCTACCCATCCCAAGTGTGTGTAGTTGAGTGTTCTGGAGCCTGGGTCAAGGAAAGCGACCGCAGTATTCTTCAGGGAGCGATTTGGAGGGTGTCAATGTTCAGTGAAGTGTGTGTGTGTGTGTGTGTGTGTGTGTGTGTGTGTGTGTGTGTGTGTGTGTGCGTTTTAGGGTTAGGGATAGCCTTGAGAAATGCATTTTACAAATTATTATCAACCACTCCCCCCGACCCTCCCACGAGGTTCGCATTTGTCAACAGCTAACAGCAGCAGCCTAAGTAGGCACGTGAGTTTTAGCCTCTTAACTAGAACTTTCTATTAAATAGTGGCATGGATCCTGGAAAGGGGAAGATTAACCAAAACACTTTAGGCTGTACTGATGAAAACTGATTACTTTTTGGTTTCGCTTTCCCTTAGCGCTGCCAAACAGTATTTGAGTTGAATAGGTCACCACAGCTTGGATGACCCAGTAAAATGTAAAAGGTGTGTCATGTAGGAAACACTTTTAAAAGAACTTTGGAGGCATGATATAGAGTAGAAATTAGGAAAAAGAAATGTAACTCTGATGAACACCTTCAATTTCGTCTTCTTTGGAGTTTCTGCATGTGGGTCTGCATAATCTATTTGTAGATTTGCATTGAGTAGTTTTAATTTAAAGTTAGTAGGATCCAGCAGAGGAAAAATAGAACAAACACCCTTTCCCTGAAAACTGACCTCACTTGTGTTTCTTGGTAGGAAGATGCGAGCCAACCCCATCCGCATTCCAACTGTTAGCAATGACACCGACTGGGACTTCTGCTTCCATCTGTAAGTACTGGCAGGACATGGACATGATGCTCACTCGCCAGAAAGAGCGGGCCTCTCCACTTTAAGGAAAGCCTGGGCGAAACTTTCCATAGAAGAGAAAGGACCACAGCTGTGTTGTATGTTAATAATGTTATGGAACAACATCCATTTGTGTCTACAACTTCTGAAAGATGGATGACCACTGTATTTTCCTAATTTAGGAAAATGTTCAAGTTTATACAAATAAAGCAACATAATAACAACTCTAGTAAATCCAGTGAGATAAACATAACAAAATCAGAGTAAGATTTCATGAAACAAAGAGGCAACGGATAAAGGCATTCTAAAATTATTTTTACTATTTTAAATTGTTTATGTGGGGTATGTGCACGAAAGAGGGGTATGTGCATGTGGGTGCTGATACACGTGGAAGCTAGAAGACAGGGTATTGGGTACCCTGGTGCTAGAGTCACAGATAGTTGTAAACCCCCTGACGTGAGTGCTGGGGACTGAACTTGGTCTTCTGGAAGAGCAGTAAGTGGTCCTAGCAACGGAGACATCTCTCCAGTCCTAATAAGAACTTCTATGTAGCTGGAGAATTTTTCTCCAGCTCCCACCACCAAGTCCTGCCAGTCCCAGAGCCCACTTATAAAACAAACACACAGACTCTTACATTATTTAAACTGCTTGGCCATAGCTCAGGCCTATCATTGTCTAGCTCTCACTCTTATATTCAGCCCATTTCTATTAACCTTTACTTTGCCACGTGGCTCGTGGCTTACCGGTACTTTACATCTTCCTTGTCTTGGCGGTGGCTCCAGCTGGTCCCTTTTCCTTCCTCCTTCCTCAATTCTCCTCTCTCCTTGTCCCGCCTATACTTCCTGCCTGGTCACTGGCCAATCAGTGCTTTATTTATATCGAGCGATATCCACAGCACTTCTACATCCTAATAAGCAATCCTTATTGAGCAGGTTCTGTGTGCCTGTCCTATTACAACTCTGTAGGGATGTGCTGTCTCTACCATTGTTACTGCACTGTATAGATGGTGATCATAAGTCAAAGAGAGGTTGGGCAGTTTGTCCAAAGTTGCACAGCTAGTGAGTGGTATTTAATCCAGCTTGTCTACTTTTAACCATTAACCATTTCTCCATATGGCAATCGCTTACTCTTGGCACTATTGGCATTTAGAGTTGGATAACTCTTTGTTAGGGAGATATCGAAGTAAAACTTGCTTTTACCCACTATATGCAAGTAGCACTGCCCCACATCTGTGACAAACAAAGTATCTTCAGGCGTTGCCAAATGGCCCCAGGGGGCAGAATCAGCCTTAGATGAAAACCACTGCTTTATTCCAGTGTGTAGGAAAAACAACAGAAACAATAGCTATCAACCACTATGGCATTTAAATTTTTCTGATAGCCATAATAAAAAGTAAACAAAGTAGGTATATTTAATTTTAATGTATTTATTTTAGTATACTTAAAATATTATGTATAACTGCTAAATATTTTATACTAATTGCTAAATAGTTTACACTATTTTTTCATAGTGAGTCATCAAAATTCAGCCTATTTTCACATTTTTGGAAATATTTTAATTCTAACTAGTCATATTTCATGTTCATAATAGCTACCTGTGGCTAGTGGTTACCTTATTGAAGATTATATAATATATCATAAAATATAAGGTTAAATGTTATGCAACTATAAAAATGGACTTAAAAAATTGTGTTCTATTTTTTTTATTCTGTATTTATCTCTGAGAGAGATGACTCAGCAGTTAAAAGCATACCCTCTGCATCCAGAGGACTGGAGTTCAATTCCTAGCACCCACATGGCAGCTAATAACTGTCTGTCAACTCCAGTTCCAGGGGATCCAAACCTTCTTTTGGCCTCCATAGGCACTGCACACACAAGGTGCATAGACATAATACAGGCAAAACTGTGGAATATTCCTTCACACTATGTGAATATATGTCACTGTGATTGGTTTAATAAAGAAACTGACTGACCAACAGCTAGAAAGGATAAGGTTAGGGGAGAGCCGAACAGAGAATGCTGGGAAGAAGAAAAGCAGAGTCAGAGAAGTCACCAGCTAGATGGGTAGGAAGCAAAACATGCCAGAGAGGTAAATGCCACAAGCCTTGGAGCAGCATATAGATTAATAGAAATGGGTTAATTTAAGTTGTAAGGGCTAGTTACAAATAAGCCTGAGCTATTGGCTGAGCATTTATAATTAATATTAAGACTCTAAGTGGTTATTCAAGAGTGGCTGCTGGCACAGGAAAACTCCACCTATATGAAACACCCATAAAATAAAAGTAAATAAATCTTTTTAAAATGTAGAGTTCACAATATAGCATACTGGAAATGGTCATTCTTTAACTATATTACCAATCAGGATTTATATTTATTATTTCAACAGATGGAATGAGTCACAAGTCTAGGAAGGCTTCACTCGCCTTGCTGATTCCTTTTATTCTGACTTTCCTGAGATATCTCACTTGTCATTATGTAGTGTCTTAGTTAGGATTTTATTGCTGTGAAGAGACACCATGACCATGGCAACTCTTAAAAAGGAAAACACTTAATTGGGGCTGGCTTACAGTTCAGAGGTTTAGTCCATTATTGTCACGGTAGGAAGCATGGTGGCTGGCAGGCAGACATGGTGCTGGAGAAGGAGCTGAGAGCTGTACATCTTGATCTGCAGATAGGAGAAGGAGACCTCAAAGCCTGTCCTCACAATGACACACTTCCTCCAACAAGGCCACACCTAGATAAGAACCCAGTTTATCACTTGCCTTCCAGTCAAATCCTATCACCAGGCTTTCTCTTGTTTTAACTAAAAGCATGCTCATCTGTGGGAAGGTCATTCTTCCTTGGCCTGAAGAAATGCTGCTCTATCCACATGACCTGGCACACCTGCTTGTCTCTGGGCATGTTATTTGGAAGACTATTCTGAGTGGATTTCATATAATTTTTCAAACTTGGTGTTAAAGATAACACAACATTTATCTTCTCATCATACCTTTCTCAATCCCCCCCCCATTGAAAAGAATAGCAAATATACATTGCCCAAGTAGTCAGTGTGAAAGAGCAGTTTTGTTGTTGTTGTTGTTTGATAAGATCATCTTGCAGCCCATATTGGCCTTGAACTCATAATTCTTGTGCTTGAGCCTCCTGGCATTATAGGCATAGCCCACTACAACTGCTTAAGAAAGACAAACTTTATTTTTAAAAGTTTGCATTGGCTAGAATCCAAAAAAGCATTGTGAATACAAAGATGATTCCTATGGGAGACATTTCTAATTAATTATCATTGCTCTTAAGATTTTGGAATTCTGTTTATTCCAGATCATTTTCATTTTTCTGGTGATATTAGGATATGTTTATCTCTTTTCTCTGTGAATACACTTCCAGTTACTTCTTTCACAATTGCTATTAACCTTGAAGCTAGAGATTTATTTATATTGTATGTTAATGTATATACGGTGTGTGGGGGAGAATTCTCAACTTGGTTCTTTCTTACCGAATTGGTTTCTAACACAACAAAAGAGGCACATGCACTTGACCTAGCATGTGGTTTTTCTCTTGCCAAAAGCTGCGTTCTCTTTGGTTAATTACAAATTACACATTGAAGATTTTGAGATTTATGAAAGAGGACCTGTGAGGTTAGTCTATCCTCAAAACCTTATTCCCTATCTCCTATTCCATTGTATCCATTCCTTTGCCTGGCTTGGATCTAAATTTTAGGATCTTCAAGATCTTCTAACTCAACACTCTCATTTTGTAGGAAGAAGCCGAGTCATGGGGCCAATAGCAGGAATAATAGCAGGCATTAAGGAAGCATTTGCAAAATGCTGCTCACTGTACACAGTGGTTGATGAGGATGACCTCCTTTAGTCCTAACTGCATTAGGCAGGCATTCACATTAACCTGCCTTTATGGAGAAGTCATTTAAATACCACTTATTTAGGGTTACATGGTTCACAGGCAGAGGAGCTTTGACTCTACTGCAAGGTGACAAGTTTACCAGATGTTTTCTTCGAGCTACTGAATTGCTGCGTAGATGTTAGGTCCTTAGAGTGGTGTGAGTTTACTGTATATCTTTATTTCAAATTGAACTTAGAAAGTGTGGTGGTTTGAATAGGAATGGCCCCCATAAACTCTTGTGTTTGAATGCTTGGCCCATTGAAAGTGGCACTATTAGGAGGTTTTGGCCTTGTTGGAGGGGGTGTGGCCTTGTTGGAGGAAGTGTGTCACTTTGGAGGCGGGCTTTGAGGTCTTATAGGCCCAAGCTAGGCCTAGTGTTGCAGTCACTTTTGCTGCCTACAGATCAAGATGTGGAACTCTAAGCTCCTTCTTCAGGACCATATCTACCCACATGCCACATGACAATAATTGACTAAACCTCTGAAACTCTAAGCCAACCCCTATTAAATGCTTTTCTTTATAAGAGTTGCCGTGGTCATGGTGTCTCTTCACAGCAAATGGAAACCCTAACTAAGATGGAAAGCAAGTTCACATCCTCCAGCTGAGGATACTTTAGCCTTCTTTTTTGTCTTTTTTGAGAATCCTGATGCATGCCCTCTTATACCAACAGATCACAGCAAACCAGGAACCCAGCACAACACACTGATGACTTGTTTACTATCTGTCAGTGTAGAGAGACTGAAGAAGACACTACAGTCCAGAAAGAAGGGATGGCTCTTCCAAAACAGCAATTAGCTCAGTCCCAGGAGAAAGTTGGTCAGCTCGTTAAGGAAAAAATGGTAAAGCAAACAAAATATTTACTGGGTTTGGGCTGCCATTTAAAAGTGTGTACACAATATGAGATAGCCTGCCTTGACTGCAGAATGAAGCATGTGAGGAATCCATTGTGTGTTGTAACTTGAAAAAAATATAGCAGAGCACAGTTGGGGAGCTAGTCTACCCTCCAGTTCTCTGTCCATTTTGGTGTGTGTTCCTCACAAGAGGGCTCATGCTTTTATCTTTTAACCAAGCTTATAACTAAAAAATTCAGTGTTTGCCACATTCAGTTGCTTTTTGGTTAGCCTGACCTTAAAAAGTCTCTTATCCCCTATATCAAGGTTTCAAAATGATCCTTGGGTAAGAAGAGGCAGGAGGTCAGGAACAGTAGTAGTCAAGCAGACAGGTGATATAGGAAGGATGTCATGGCCACAGTAGACTCAGCCATAAACCAAAGGGCAGAAAGCCATGGAGGTGAGCATCCATGAAGGTACATGCATTTCTAAAGCTGAGTCAAGGACTTGGGAATTCTGATTTCTGAACAGGTGTATAAACAAAAGAATTCAAAATCTAGGATCCTGAGATAGCAGCACGTTGACTTTCCTTATTAGGACACAGCCACCAGACTGCTCCCAGATTTATCAACAGAGAGGTTCACACACTGACTCTGGCCATTCACGGTCAAAAGATGATTCTAAAGTACATGTGAGGAAAGCAGGAAGAGGGCTCAGGGAAAGCTGAGAAGGACCTTTGCAGCAACCAATGTTGATATCTCTCTAATGGATGTCTGCAAATCTACCTTTGCAAGCTGTCCAGAGAACTTCAGTGGACAACTGTCACAACCTGGATCTTCCTCAGTTCACACATGCATTCTGGAAATATCATTCTATAAGCAAAAAGGTACCATCTTCCACACAGTGAAAGTGTGCTGCTTTGCTTTCTGTTGCTTTAATAAGCACCATAACCAAAAGCAACTTGGAGAGGAAAGGGTTTATTTGCCTTACACTTGTAGGCAACAGTCCATCACTGAGGGAAGTCAAGGCAGGAACTCACGCAGGGGCACAGGCAGAAACTATGGAGAAAAGACACTTTCTCGCTTGCTCTTTCTGGCTTGTGCTCAGCTAGCTTTCTTATAAAGCCCAGACCCACCTACCTATGACTTTTCTGCCCACAAAAAGGGTCAGAGCCCTCCTGCACCAATCAGCAGTCAAGAAAATGCTCTGTAGACATGCACAAGAGGCCAGCCTCATCTGAGCAGTTCCTCACTCGAGAGTCACTCTTCTTGGGTGACTCTAGGCTTGTGTCAAGTTGACAATAGACTAAGCAGCATAGCAAGTAGAGGTTTTAAGGTTTGAAACTTTGTCCAGTTCAGATAATGGAAATATTTATATCTTGGGAGTTAAAAGTCACTCAGTCCAATAATCACAGCCCTGAAGGACAGTATACTACTGTAAACAACAGTGGTGGAATGGCTTAAGCCCATTCTAGTTGTCTCTTCTTCCCTAGGACAAGGAGTATAGGAGGGGTACATACTGTTAAGGGCCAGCCAGTCCAACTCAGAGCTCTGGACTCCTCCTTCTGACAGTTTTCCTGGTACTTGGTTATATACTCAAAACAGAACTTAATGTTTACTATGGTTAGCCTATGATGAACTCTCCAAAATGCTGACTGGATATTTTTAAAGCATTGGGAAATGCGGGCCTTGCATCATAAGGAGGTGAAGTACCTGGCTAAGATAGGAAATGTAGGAGTTGGGAGGAGGTAGTCTGTGGACCCATATGAAGTGTTACTGTATTTTAAGTGGGATATAATTAGATGACTTAACAAATTTGGATCATGTGAACATGAACTAATTCTCTTCTTTCAATAACTCTTTGAGGTGCGTGGCACAGGCTTCCAAATTTCAGGAAGGGAAGCTGGGGTTTGGGTGACCTTCCCCAAACAGCAACGTAGTCAGCAGACATCACAGCAGGGTTGGAACTTCAGCTTTTGAGTCCTTAAAGTGCTGTTTTCACTTGACCTGGAAATTGACATCCAGAGCTGATGACCACTGTCACCACTGGATGACGATGTAAAGTCACTGGAATGCATGACAACACAAATGTGTAGTTTGTGATTTTCTAGAGCTCTCTGGAAAGCTCATCCCATTACTCTATCTTTATCCTTATCACAAGAGATGGTCCATTCATTGGATGCTGCAAATATACCTCCTCTGTGCACAGTCCTATAACAGTGAATGAGAGGGATAACCCCTCCCTTCTGGTTTCTTTTGAGACAGATTCTCACTCTATAGCTCTGGCTGTCCTGGCACTCACTCTGTAATCCAGGCTGGCCCCTAACTCACAGAGATCTACCCACCTCTGCCTCCTGAGTGCCGAGACTAAAGGTGTGCGTCATCACACCCCGCAGGAATAAACTTCTTAAGGAAGTTATAGTCTATTTGGGAAGGCAGATAGTAAACCAGCCAACAGCAGTATCAGATGGAAGCACCATGAATCCAAGATAAACCAGGTAAGGAATCGTGAGCGGCTGTTTCAGAAAGGTAGCCCAGAACAGCCTCCGAGGTGACCACAATGAAAGTGAGTGAGAGTACTCAAAAGAGCATCTCAGGCAGGGGAGCCCACAGTGGACGCCCACTTGCCCGATTCAGGGTCAGCTGGGCAGTATGCTTGTAGCAGTGAGACAAAGATGAAAACAGAGAGGGCTAGAAAAACGGAGGAGGTGATCAGCGTAGGGTCATACTGAGCAGAGCCGTGTAGGCTATGGTGAGGACTTTGGATTTCATTAAAAATAAAAAGGATGATTGATATATACAGGCCAGTAACATAAGCTAATTATACTTTTAAAAGATTGTTGTCACATGAAATGTTTAAAAGCATTTAAGCTTATAATAACTATAATAAACTACTTGCTTGCCATTGGAGGATGCTCATGAATGAACTTGTTATTCTGAAAGTGGGTAGGCAAAGAGAAAGGATGATCGTGTATCCTGCCCTTTCATTACAAACTGTACCAGTACAGTGGGTAGCCAAAAAAGTAGATGGCAGAACTTTCTGGCTTTAATGTATTACTCTTGGTGATTGTGTGTATGTGCACCCGTGCATGCATCACAGTGCATACAGTGATCAGAGGACAACTTTGTAGAATCAGTTCTCTTTCTACCTTTACATGGGATCCAGGGATTGAACCTGAGATCACTAGGCTTGCAGTTTTTTTTTTTTTTTTTTTTTTTTTGGTTTTTTCGAGACAGGGTTTCTCTGTGTAGCTTTGTGCCTTTCCTGGAACTCACTTTGTAGCCCAGGCTGGCCTCGAACTCACAGAGATCCGCCGGCCTCTGCCTCCCGAGTGCTGGGATTAAAGGCGTGCGCCACCACCGCCCGGCTTTTTTTTTTTTTTTTTTTTTTTTTTTGGGCTTGCAGTTTTAAAAGGCAGCAAGTGCCTTAATCTACTCAGCCACCTCACCAGCCCTGAGGAATTTCATTTCAGGGAAGTATGCTAGCTACCATATGAGGGAGCTGTGATGGAGAATGTGAGCTAGCATCAGGAAACAAGACAAGCAAATATTAACTTCTAATAGAAGAGCATACCATACTTACAAAGTAGTTGTGCTTAAAAGTTTTTGTTTGTTTGGGATTTTTGTTTGTTTGTTTCCTTTTTTTTAAAGATAACCTGGTCATGGTAGCATTCAACACTCAAGAGGCAGAGGCAGGAGGATCATAAGTTTAAGGCCAGCCTAGCTATATAGTAAGACTCTGTCTCAAAACACAAAACAACAATAAAAGTCCTCAAAAACTTCAAAATATTGGGTTTATGACACTATTTGATATTAAAAAATCACTGCTGATGTTTTGGTAATAATGATTTTGTGGTTACTTTTAATCTCATATCTTTTAGAGCTACCCATGAGATATTAATATATGAAATAATATAGATTTTCTTCAATGTATTAGAAGGTGAAGTCATGGAGCATATACTTGAGTAGGAGTGACAATGACAATAAACAGGAAACCAAGGAAGCCACGTGATCACTTTCTCTGTGTTATAAAAGTTTCCCATGACGAAGTGCCCTGGAAAAGCTCTTTGGCTATGAGATAAAAGACGGAGTGTGGAGGACAAGAGCGGCACAAATTAGGAGGGTGTACTGTCTGTCCAGCCACATAACGATGGGGGTGCATGAGAGTGAGGAACTCAAAGTGGAAATGAGAAGAGCTTGGTTTTAGGATGTATGTATAAGGCGGAGCCAACCAGACTCAGTGTGATGAGAAAGAATGACCAAGAAAAGATACCAGGCCAGTGCAGTCCTAACCTCTAGTGAGGGACACCAGACTTTCTTCCTTCCCTAAAAATGACTTTTTCCCTCTCTGCAGAATACCAAAGCAAACAAGGAGCTGATTCGGTGTTTCATCCTTTCTCGGATTATTTTTGGGGAAGAACATTGGAAATGTGCACAGGCTTTAGCCAACCTGGCTTACGGTTACCTGACACTGAGAGGTACTTTGTTCCCCCAGCCAGGTCTTGGTGGGCCAGCCTATGAGGCCAAACTGAGCCATCCCTTGGGAGCTGAGATGACTGGGAGGGCCCCTACTTAGCTCCATGCCACAGTTCATCGAGAGAAGGGGGAGAGTCCATGGGCACAGGAGACAGTGTACCTTAGTAATAAAGATGATAGTGGTGGTGACAGAAGTTACTGAATGTTCACTATGTGCCACGGTTGAGGAAGGAGGAAGGAAAGGGAGACCAGCTGGAGCCACTGCCAAGACAAGGAAGATGTAAAGTACCGGTAAGCCACTAGCCACGTGGCAAAGTATAGATTAATAGAAATGGATTAATTTAAGTTGTAAGAACAGTTAGCAAGAAGCCTGCCACGGCCATACAGTTTGAAACCAATATAAGTCTCTGTGTTTACTTGGTCGGGTCTGAGTGGTTGTGGGACTGGCGGGTGGCAGAGATTTGTCCTGACTGTGGGCCAGGCAGGAAAACATTAACAACACAAGGTAGTGTTTTTTAGTCTTCATAAATCCCTCAAAGGGCTACATGTGTTAGCTTGTGGAGAAGACACTGAGGCACAGTGAGAATGAATAGGGCAATAGGAAGCTGATACTCTAAAGAAAACACTCAGCTCTGGGGGAAGGCAGACCCAGTAGTTTTCTGGTACAGGGGTACAAGCTGGAATCTGTAGTTGGTTGTTTTTACTCTTTTCTCTTTGGGGGCCCATGACCCAGATCCCAAATAAATCACACACAGAGGCTTATTCTTTCTTATAAATGCCCAGACTTAGATTGGCTTATTTCTAGTCAGTTTTTCTTAACTTAAATTATCCCATCTACCTTTTGCCTCTGGGTTTTTACCTTTCTGTGTATCTTTTCTTTCCTTGTTATTCCATGTCTGGCTGTGTGGCTGGGTGCCTGGCCCCTTCTTTTCTCACTCCTTGGTCTCTCTTGCTTCCCATCCCTCTTTTTCTCCTTCTATTTATTCTCTCTGCCTGCCAGCTCCTCCTATCTTTCCTCCTGCCTTGCTATTGGCCATTCAGCTCTTTATTAGACCATCAGGTGTGTTAGACAGGCACACAGCTAGACACGCAGCTTCACAGAGTTAAACACATGCAACATAAAAGAATACAACACAGCTTTGCATCATTAAAACAAATGTTCCTCAGCATAAACAAATTTAACACATCTTAAAATAATATTCCATAATGGGAGTCCATTTGTTGAAAATGGAACCCGAGTAAAAGCTCAGAGTTCAGAACTTTTCAGTAAGGGCTCAATAAATATCTTCAACAGTTGGAGGAATTTCTGGAACAAGGGTGAGTGGACACGGAGAAGGGAGTATTCTATACAAAATGCCTTATAAATCAGAACATCGTAGGCTCTCTTCAGACCCAAATGGTGAGAGTCCTTACCGAAGGACAAATAAGACTTCCCTCCCCATGGTGCTTGTGGTCATGACGTTCATCTAGCAACAGAAAGCAAACTAGACTAGTTGGCAGCTGAAAAGTAGGTCCGCAGCTAGGAAAACATGAGTTTGGGCATGGTCAGTACAGAGTACCAAGTTGAAGCCATAGGTTTGGACAAGTTTGATCGGAAAAAGTCTGTAAAAAGAGGAGGAAGGAGGACAGAGAACATAAGAGCAGAAAGCAGGAGTGTTAGGAATGGGCAGCAGGAGAGGAAGCAGGAAAAAAGTGGAAGGGCTGTGTCGTGGGTTAAGGGAGGACACAAGGTCTCGAAAAGAAGTGTGGTCTCGTCTCAGCAGTTGATAGTCAGAGATCAAATAAAGTCAAGGCTGGAGACCCGGTAGAGTTGGCAGTTGGGTCCCTGTTATGGATGAAAACTCTGTCTGGGCCCTGGGAAAGTCAGGATTCACAGTCACTACCCAAAACCTGTTGACTGGACTTCAGACTTGAGGAGAGGGACAGTATGAAGTGAAAAGGAAGATTTGTCTGAACTTAGCATAAGGCCAGAGGCTGCTTTTTATGGTGTGGGTAGAAGATAACCATGGTCAGGCTATACAAGAAGCTTGTCTCACGTCCCATTGCCCACTAACTAACCTTTACCTTTCTAATTCTATTGAAAGCTGAGTCAAAATAAGTAAGGAGGTAACCCCACAAAAGATGGTGTCAACAACCTTTTCTGTGAAATTCACAGATGTTCCTGTTACGTGAGTAGGAAACCACATTTTGGATAAGAGGTTAGAAGAGACAAATTCTGTGAAAGGGAGTGTTTGTTTGTTTGTTTGTTTGTTTCCAGATGGGAAAATGTTTTAGTTAGAAAGAAGTACCTAGACTTGAAACACGAGTCCCTCACCCGCAACCTAGGGTTTTCTAGGCTACACTGATTATGGCATTTCTTGGAGAATAGCTTGGTGCAGGTCTCCCCAACTTAATCCTTTCTAGTGTCTGGCCCATGGACTAGAACAACAAGGTTTTCAATGCCATAGACCTTTGAGAGGGATAAAGGACTCTCTGAGTTCTACTTACTTCTGTTGCTGCTAATCCTGTAACTGCTTCTAAAATGGACAGTGGACAGAATATATGAACCAGCCTGCTGTGGGGAAGGAGGGAACATCCATGTGTGTCTTCATGCCTGGCTGCACATGTGCATGTCTTAGAGACATCAGACCTCCTTTCTTCATTCCCCTTCCCACATTGGAACATGGGTATCAAGCCCAAAGGCTGATTTTTCTCAATAAGCAGTCCTTCCGTAACCATTTTATGATGTATTTATACATGCAAAAAAAAAAAAAAAAACATCAGGAAGAGCACACTGGGACTATCATGTGCAGGCACCCTCAAAGAACTTAGAACCTCTTGTGTGAAGTGAGCTACCTGGAGACCTATGATAGCAGATGTTTAAGGTCTGAGTTCTGTAATTGATTTAAATAAATGCCCTTGGAAAGGTTGGTAGATGGTGTGTGTGTGTGTGTGTGTGTGTGTGTGTGTGTGTGTGTGTGTGTGTGTGTGTGTTTGTTTGTATGTGTCCATGCACATTCAAGAAAGACTAAGAAATTAATAGGATGTGGTTGGTAGAAGAAAACATGGTATGGAAAGTTAGAGTCTAATGAAAGACCAGGGCAGAGGTGAAGGCTTAAGGAAGCAATGTGCAGTATCTGTTTAGACAGCAAGGAGATACCCTATGTAGCCATGATTTGGACTAGGAAGATGAACTTGGAAATGGGGCTGTGCTGGGCAGATAACAGCATGGCTTTTAAACATTGCCAAGGGCCTTGAACTGATACAATAGGCAAGAAAGGCTGCTGGAGGTTTTCCAGCAAGCTGCTGAAAATATCAAAGTATCCCTTTAGCAAAACTAATCTCTCAACAATAGTTGAATGGAAGCAACTGAGTTATCTGGATCTAATACTAAAGCTAAACCTAGATAAATACGTAAAAAAGTAAGGATTCAGGGATCTAGGAAGAAAAGACCATTTTAGAACCAAGTCTCACTTCCAGGAATCTTTCCTAAATACACGCTTACAACGTATGGATAAAGCTATTTTTTGAAGATTGGTTATGGTACTGAAAGATTAGAAGAAACAACGAAGAATCTGTCAACGGAGAGCAAGCACATACACACAAAGAGAGAAGGACTTGAGGAGCATGAAGGACCTCTGTGTACTGTCAGGGGGCTGTCTGAGTGCGTCTGTAGGCAAAAGGGAATCACAGTGAAGGGCAGCATTAGTGTTTACTTCTTGCGTAAGTAAGAGGGGAATAGACAAAGAGTATGCAAGATAGAAAAGTATGATAGAGAGTGCTTTCAATGACAGTAAACCAGGTTGGAAATGAGGCTTCAATGTTTGCTGTTCCATATGACTTTAACTTTTCTTTCTTTCCTTTATTTTCTTGTAAGATGTTGTATTATGTAGCCCAAGCTGGCCAAACTTACTATGTAGCTGAGGATGATGTTGGACTCCTGATCCTCCTGTCTCCACCTCCCAAGTGCTGGCTCGATTTTAGCTTTTCAATCATAGAAATAAATAATCTGTCCTAAAATGATCGTTGCACAGGAGGGTGCAGCAGCACAGGTGTGTGACCTACAGCAGCCAGGAAGCTGGAGCAGCAGTAGGATCACAAGCTAGAAACCAAACCACAGAGCAAGTTCAAGGCCAGCCTGGGCTACGTGACACTTGTTTTCTCTACCCACCCCAGAAGAAAAGGTAAATTCCCAAAGGTGATTTTGACCCCAAACATGCCATTTTCATTGATGAATAGATCATGACAGGAGAACTGGAATTATTGAGTGGAAGGTGTTTTGTTATTGTTTGCTTGTTTGTGAGACAGGGTCTCACTATATAGCCCCGTCTAGCCTCAGACTCACAGAAATCTGCCTGCCTCTCACTGCTGGTATTGAAGTCGTACACTACCAGGCCTGGCTGGGTGCAGGCTTTGATGTGTTGATTTTGAATTGCAATAGAGAAACCTACTATTATCTTACTTGGTGCTAGAAACCTGGGAACAAAATGTGAGGATGGAGAAAGGAAATCATAAGCATGAGGACCACTGGAGACTAAGACTTGACAGGAGACATGGATGTGACAAGCACTTGAAGCTAGCTAGGGTTGCAATTACAGGAGTTCCTCGGATTTCCGAAATGTGAAGAGAAGAGGAATATGCAGAAAGACTTGAAGAAGGGCATGGCAATGAGTGGGAACCTTGGGAAAGACTTACTTAGCGAAGAATCGGTTAGGAAGGATCAAGTAAATAAGGGTATTTGGTGCTGCAGCAAAGTGGACAGTAAGAAATTGTGATTTGATGTATTTGGTAGGTCTTTGGAAACCTCAGAACGGTTACTCTACAGTGGCTGCAGGAGAAGACAGTTTCCAGAGTTAAGTTCAAGGAACAGGGATGGATGATTACACAGTACATTCTCTTGTTTTGGTTTAGTTTGATTGGTTTTGAGACAGTGCTTCATTTTGTAGACCAGGAAATGCTCAACCCTATAATTTTTCTGTCTAAGCCTTCTGAGTGCTGAAATTACAGGTGTGTGCCACCATGCCTAGCTGGACTACATGCTGTACATAATAGATATTGAAAGATAGGAAGGGTGATAGGAAGGATAGCTAAAAATGTCAAAAAAAAGACATATTGTTTTACAAAAGAAAGAGATACAATAATATTTCAGGCAGAGAAAAAGGAGCAAATTGGAAAAGAGTATTGGAAATGTCTTAGTTAGGGTTTCTATTGCTGTGAAGACACACCATGACCATGTGACTCTTATAAAGGAAAGCATTTAATTGGGGTTTGCTTACAGTGTCACTGGTTTAGTGTATTGTCATCATGGCAGAGAACATGATGGCATGCAGGCAGGAATGTTGCTGGAGGAGCAACTGAGAGTTTCCACCCTGATCCATAGGCAGCAGGAAAAGAGAGACACTGGGACCAGCTTGGGCATTTGAAAGCCCAAAGTCCAACCCCAGTGACACACTTCCTCCAGGAAGACCACAGCTACTCCAATAAGGCCTTATCTTTTAACCCCTCTTCAGTGTGCACTCCTTGGTGACCAAGCATTCAAATATGAGCCTATGGAGGTCTTTCTTATTCATACCACCACAGGAAGCATTTTTTTAAATGGAGTAGCTAGTATGGTGACGCATGCCTGTCCTCCCAGCACTTGGGAGACCAGGACAAGGGAATCATTAGATCAAAGTCATTCTGGGCTACATAACGAAACCCTATTCAATCAGTGAGTGGACTAATGAGTGGGATGGGGTCCAGGAGGGAGCATGAAACCTTGGTAGAGCAGAAGGTGTAGGTGGTTGTTGCTTGGTGAGGTAAAGTTAAGGATGCCGGGAGTGGAACTCTGTTTCCAGCTGCCCTGAGGGGTAATTCTAAAGAGCTTGATGACACGGCAGCAAAGAAAGGGCAGGCAGAGACACCAGGGTCGTCTGACGCATAACGATGAACTGTTTCCAAGTACACCGGAAGGAGCAGATGGTATGTGGACAGGCAGTTTCCTGCTAGTTAGCTTGTTATTAATGAGATAGTAAATTAATCAGTCAGCTTGTTGTAATTGGAAACTGTCCAGATATTCATGCTCTATTGTAAGTGCTACAAAAGCAGAAAAAGTAAAAGTCATGAGTCCCGTTTTCTCTAATGAGAAAAAAAAAAAAACTGGTACAGAGAAAACTGAGGATGATTTAAAACAAAGCCAAACATAACAACAAACAAACAAACAAAACCCTCCCACAGATGATCTAGCCTGCAGGAAGCCCAACTCCAGCTTAAAGTGAGATTGCATTTGAGAGAGTCTTTGCAGAGCCATGAAAAATGCTCCAAGTGGAGATAGATACAAGAAATTACTCAATAAGAGAAACTGGCTCTGGGAACAGCAGTGGTTAACGTGCATCCAGACTCTATTCTAGTACCACCTAATCCTTTCTCATGCATTAAATTTACCCTGGAGACCACAATAAGATGGAAGGTGTTTTCATGAGCATCTCTTAGGAAGAGAAATCTTGAGGCACAGGTCAACTAAATAGTTTGTTCAAGGCCACATGAATAGTAGTATGTGGCTATGCCAGGACTTATTTCTAGGAAATCTGACCATTGACCTTGGTCTCTTGTTCCATAATAACTTCTTTTTTGGTTTTTCGAGACAGGGTTTCTCTGTGTAGCTTTGCAACTTTCCTGGAACTCACTTTGTAGACCAGGCTGGCTTCGAACTCACAGAGATTCACCTGCCTCTGCCTCTGCCTCCTGAGTGCTGGGATTAAAGGCCTGTGCCACCACCGCCCGGCCCATAATAACTTCTTAAACATAAAAGATGACCAGTGGTGACTGCTTTCAAGTGACAATAGTGACCTCAGAAGACTGGGTCACTCTGAACAGATTTCCTCTGGCCTGAGTCATGTTAAGAGACATCAGAGGCCATGCATGGTGACACACCTTTAATCCCAGCTCCCAGGGTCAGAGACAGTCAGATCCCTGAGTTCGAGGCCAGCCTGGTCTACAGAGTGAGTCAGGACAGCTAGGGCCACATGGAGAAACCCTGTTTCAAGAAACCCAAGTGGGGAGAGTAGAGAAACACAGACAGACAGACAGCAGGCAGACAGACAGACAGATACACACACAGAGAGAGAGAGAGAGAGAGAGAGAGAGAGAGAGAGAGAGAGAGAGAGCAGAGATATCAGAGACTAACTGCCCACACTAAAACAAAATGATTAATATGTTTCTAGACAAATTTGAATCCATTTGACAATTCATCAGCACTTACCTGTTATCACTGACTCAGGCTTCTGCAGGCTTTGATGCTACTTTGATTTTTACCTGATTTATGCATCTTAAGTGCAAGGTAGTAAGGGTGGTGATGCCCCTGGCATGGAAGGACAGAGAAAAGAAAATGATTGAGCAACCACTGGGGTTGAAGACATGGAAATTAGAGTTGTCTGATGATGCACCTGTGACACCCTTCATAGAAAGACCCAGTAGAAAGTCTCATGTATATGCATAGGTGCAGAGTTTTCTTTTCTTTTTTACACGAAAGGAAGTATTTTTCAATTAAAAAATGCAAATTCATTTCAAAGTGGCACTGATAGTGACTTCAGGGGACATTTTATCATGCACTCTCTTAAATAGTGTGTGCCATAAAAATAATTGATATCAGAAAATGGGAAACTGCATAGATACTTCGGACACACACAGAGTGCTTTCATACTTGCCAAGGTTGGAAAACATTTCTCTAGAGCTGTGGTTTTCCAAAGTCTTAAGACTTAGTTCCCCTTCCACTGAAAGTGCTTGGGCACTTTCCATTTCTGTCGTTTATTACAAAGCCCGTTCAGCAGTATTTATATACGTAATACGACAAAGAGTTATAAGACAGGAGAAAAGAATAGGCTCAAAACAGCACCGAAGTGTGGGTCCCCCAACACATGATGACATCTCGCGTGCCCACAGGAGTACATGCACCCCACCTAGGCCGGGAAGACTGTGAAAGCAGCACTTTCCCCCTTCAGTGCTTACTTTGAAGTGTGGGAATCCCAAACCCTGCTCGGTCTCTTTAAGCCCCACTGGTTTTCAGTGCAGTGTTTTCACTGGGGACATAGAAGTGTGGAGACGACTGTATAGCTGGCTGGCAGATAAACCTGCTGGAAGACAGTTCCTCTCAGAGATGTCACAGCAAGCCAGGCACCACCAGAGCATGGGAGGCAGGCCTGTGAAGCCCTGGGGATGCTTCAGAGCAGGTTTCTTTGTGGTGGTTGTTTCACTTCCAACCTACCCATCCAGGAAGGTTATGCTGCTGTGGGGATGTTGAGTAACTCCTCCATGTTCACCCTTCTTCCTCCTAGGGAACCAGGGAGACAACTGAGTTGTGTTGCTACACTCCCAAGTATCCATGTGGTTTTGGAAAACAACCCATTTGATCAAAAGACTTTCTCGGTTTCCTATTTTAATGACTTGGGTTTTAGACACCAGCACCAGCTTCTAATGTCTCACTTTCAGAGTTGACCAGTTGATGCGCCTGAGAAGTGAGATGCAGTCACCTCACCTTAGTGTCTGCTTTGTTTTGAATGTGTCCTCTCTAAAAATCTAGGTGTCAGCAAGGTGAAAGTATCAAGAAGTGGAGCTGATCTAATTGTCGACAAGAGATGATTGGACCAGGAGTGTTCCATCTCCAAGAATGAGGTTATGGCCTCAGTAAAACAGGCCATAAGCCATCCTCCCATGTGAATACAGCGAGAAAGGCATACCTACCTGTAGATGTCATGCTCTTAGACTTCCCAAGCTCTAGGACTTTGAAAAAATAAACTTTTGCTCTTTCTAAGTTATCCAGTCTCAGATGGTCTGTTATGGGAACACAAGAAGGCCCACCTCCGAGACTACATCATACAGACCCAGTGCACAGTTTGTACATCTTTAAGTTCAAACTTCACTTTTAGTCTAACGGGTCCATTTCTTATCTTTCCTAACACTTTTGTTTTCATGTCCTCAGGATTTACTCAAATGCAAACTCCTCTGTTAATCAAAATCCAACCCACTCTTCAAGACCAAGATTAGCCCATAAAAATAAATGGATTTTGCTAACTCTGGCCAGGCATAGTGATGCATGCCTTTGATCCCAGCAGAGGCAGGCGGATCTCTGTGAGTCTGTGGTCAGCCTGGTCTACATCATGAGTTCCAGGATAGTCAGAGCTCTAAAGTGAGACCCTGTCCCAGAAATACAACTTTTACTAACTCTATTTCTCCAGGTGTGGGCCTCAGACACCCCGGATTAACATCACCCAGGGGAGTTGTTATCAGTTTGAATGTTAGGTCACCCTTGGAGACCTTATTGCTGTTTTAACTGTGTATCTTGTTTCTCGCCTCTGTGCTTGTAAACCGGTAACTACTGGAAGCTGAAAGCAAGGCCCTGCATAGGGCAGTGTGAGAGCTGCACGAGTCTGCTAACTTAGAACCAAGCCCTCTCTTTACAGAGCCCACTTCTCCCTTCAGCTAAGCTCTTCAGGGACTAGTTGGATTCAGGATCAGGTTTAGAGGCGCTCCACAGAAGGCTTTGTGCCTTTCATTGTTGTGACTCAATGAGAAGGCCCTGCACATTGAGAACATGGGAGGGCTGCAGGTACCAACGGCCACTCCTTCCAAACATCCCCTGCTGAAAATTGAGTTGAACCTGTGCTGTGAAAGCATGCTCCAAGGCCAAAGGCAAAGTGGAATTTTTTAGGCACAAGCCAGTGGTGTGAAGCAAGAATTAGGGGCACAGGAGGCCTACTTGGCAGGAGTGAGCATGTTCACCGGCCCTAGATGCCTTCAGAGAGGGCCGCAAGTAAGCACTCCTTCTTGATTTCATTAGAATGGAAGAGAACAGGACGGTATCCAGCCCTTCAATTTTCCTATGAAGAAAAGGGAAAGATATGAGTTAGAGTTGATGATGAGGCGGTAGTCCAATAGACGGTGTTCTCAAGTCTGTCTTCTACCTCTGTTAACTGGACAAATAGCTTGGATACATTCTCAGGAACATCAGATTTTTTTTTTTTTTTTTTTTTTTTTTTTAGAAAACAAGAGGAAACCCCCACCAGTTCTAGCTGGGACTTGGCATTCCCTGAGTCTTCCTAGTGAGGGGCCCCACTGCACTTATAAATTGGATTCTTGTGTGTGTGTGTGACCAATTAGTATGACCAGCTTCATCTTGGATTGGACAAAAAGAACCCTCAGATGGAAGTAATTACATTCCTAAACCCTTGTATTTATAGAATGTATTTTCCAGAAAGCTGAAAGCTGGCCCTATTTGTCTCCGTGTGCTTGGTTAGGGGCAGTTTTCATAATGAGTATCATTTGCCATTTGGAGGATGGAGACGCTTTGCTAGTTGAAAAGGTCACATGCGTTTGCAGCAGAATGTCGAAGGGGTTACTCAGCTCCCACCCCTGTCAGTTACTGATTTCTAAACTGAGATCCACAGACCAATGCCAGGGAGGCTGCATAAAGATCATCTGTGGGTTCAAAACAGAACTTCCTGAATCTGTTCTTTTAGAGATTCCAGCTTCCTAGGCCTAGGTTAGATGCAGGGATCTGTGCTGTATAAACACTCCAAATACTGTGATTCACTAGATTTAGGAACCATACCTGACAACCACACTGTCTACCTTCTGCTCTTTCAGGAATGCCTTTGACTGGAACATGCCTTATGTAATGTCTTTTTTTGTGTGTGTGACACCCCCTAATTTCTTTGACACCTCTCTAACCTTCCCCAGGCCTCCCAGCTCAGGCTAAGAAACATGCTGTGTCGGCCAGGAACACACTGCTGACCTGGAAGCAAAACACAACCTCAGACAAGGAGAAAAAGGAAATCCTGGGAGCTCTGGTCATGCTCTACTATACTCTGGGAATAGCTTGGCTCCTCCAAAAACGATATCCTTTCTTTCCCAAGTGGATCTGGTGATGAAGGTTACAGGCTGCATGCCAGATGGGAGGAAGGAAGGCGGAAGTGGTTCCTATGAGCTGTGTTCCAGCATCTAGGCCCTCCATAAGGTGTTTGTCCACCCAAAGAGGTACGTATTTTATTTTTGCGTTTGTTCCTATAAGGCCCGAGTTGAGCCATGGAAGGGATCTCGCTAGCCACACACCCCATAGCCAATTGGAATGTTCTAAATCTGGTAGGCCTTCCATGGAACACTCAAAGTTAATATTCCCAGTGTATATGTAAGTGGCAGTAGTGGTAGCAGTGTAAGACTGGAGAGAGTGAGTGGTAATTTAAAGTGCACTTTAGCAAACTAGCCCCCTATCCATAGTAATTCTCTGGGGGAGCTTTAAGAAGAAGTGCTAAATGGCTTCTTCCCTGGGAATTTTGATTTTTTTTTTACTAGGTCTAGGGTAATTCTGTTCCTTGAACTGGTTGAAAGACACAAGTAACTATAATGTATAGCAGAACCCACTGGTTTAATGGGTGCTTGATCATCTAATGCTTTTTTTTTAAATGCTGTTAAGAATATTGCCTGTGAAAACAAGCCACACAAATGGACCACTGATGAAGTTCTCCCTATCTCCAGAAAAGAAGCCGGGTATATGACTGTATCACATGACATACTCAGCTTATAAAGGGGTTGGGAGTTATGTCAGCTTACAGTTATAGAAGTTCTAGTTCAAGATCTGCTGGACCCTCTGCTCTTGGGCCTGTAGCAAGGCAGAGCATCATGTCAGGAGTGCCAAGTGAAGGAGAACCGCTTCCCTTAGAGCCAGGGAGGAGACGAGAAAGAGGAAGACGCTGGACTCCCACTGTGCTTATCAAGGGCGTCCCCTCCCCTTCCCCTGTAACCAGACCCCACCTCATCAAGGTTCCACCATCTCCCAAGTGTCATGATAATACGCAAGCTCTTGATACGCAGACCGCAGACCTTTCAGGACACCAGGGAGCAAAGTGATATCAACGTCTATCCCCAAGAAATGTGTGATTTTGATCTTTGTAGTCTCCCCACTTGGAAGGTGTCAAGAGAAGTAGAGTTCCTGAGTAATCGTGAGCATTCTGAGCTCAGAAGCTCCCATCTCTCCCCCTCTACATACCTTCCTCTCTATGGGGTCTGTCAGTTTGCTATATCTGATATGTGGTCTTCTGCTGTTACATCCTTAGTGGGGAGCAATTAAAATTCGGGAAATGGAAGGATGTTTGGGAATTAAGGGGATTTTCTTTTCTGCTATTTGCCTCTGGCCCCAAACCTGCTTTTCTTGGATTTTATAAATGAACCAAAAAGTCCCTTTCAGCATAATTAGTTCCTCTCGTTTCCCATTGCTATGAAACAATTTGGTAAAAATGAATAACTGTTGTCGGGCAGTCGATGTCTCTAAAGGAAATCTAGTATAATTTACAGTTTCCGTTTCTTCCTGCAGACACTCACCACTCCAGACCTGGATTCAGGCAGCCACCACAGGAAATCCATGGCCTTGTTCTTTTCCAGAGAATTCTCCCTTCTTGATGACACACACTGGAGGATTGAAAACACAGTTAAATAGCTGTTTTCAAACAACTGCTTGGTTTTCCCAAGGGCCCCATTGGTTAGCTTATAGACTGCTGTCCCTATACAATGGCTGTTAGTGTACCTGGCATTTCCCTTGACTGACTCACTGGCAAACAGGCCTATGTCCACCTGCAGAAAGCGGATAGAAACATGAAGGAATTGAAAGACTTAAACAATGGAGGTGCTGGGGGAAGCCAAGTCTCAGAGAAAGACCTAACCGTTGCTTTGGGCAGGTAAGATCAAGCCATAAAGAAGCAGAAGCTTTTATGAGTGAGGTCTGGGTTGTTTTTTCCTGTTCTTTGACCTAATAAAAGGGGGAATATGTTCGGAGTAAAAAGCCCAGAGCTCAACTGATAATAAAAGAGGTCCTATTTGTCAAGTGTGGGTTCTGTGAGTTCACTGTGCACTGCCACCCTTAATCCTCACAGCCACCATTGAGGTGGGCAGTATGACTGTGGTTTCCTCAGAGAGCCAGGAGACTGAGCTGAGGTTAAGCAATTGGTCGAAGGCAGTGGTTCTCACCTGTGGGTCGTGACCCCCTTGGGGTCACAAAACATATATCCTGCATGTCAGCTATTTACATTATAATTCTTGACAGTAGCAAAATTACAGTTGTGAAGTAACAACAAAATAATCTCATGGTCTGGGGTCACCATGACATGAGGAACTGTATGAAAGAGTGGCAGCTTTCGGAAGGCTGGGAGCCGCTGCTCCAAGGTGACTTAGCTTGTTCCACATTGCATCTGTGATCTGAATTCATCTCTCTTTGCCCGTCATTATTGTAGCTCTCTTGCAGTTACTTTGGGATGGACTTGTCTTTCTGAGTTGCCTCTTTCTTTTGTCATAGAGTGTGGGTCTTAATAGATAAGGAAAGAGCACTTAAGATGGCTGATTGGAGACTGTCAGAGCTATGGGCAGACGTACGTTTTTAAGGAAAGCTCTGTTCTGTGGAGAAACAAAGTCGACAGGATTTGTTTAAGTCAGAACAAGACTTAAAACTGTTGAGAGTTGAGTTAAGGATCCTTTGAGAATCCAGTATTTAGAAAGGAGATAATCTGATGGGCCCATCAGATTATCAGGAGAGAGAAATAATGAAAGTTTACTGTTCCCCAGATTTTTCAAATATCTTCACATCCTTGAAAGAAATCTCTTTCCAAAAGCTCTAAGCTCTTGGCACAGTAGGGCAGATGACTAAATGGTAAGTACACGAAACATCACATCTGCCTCCTCTAAACAGCCATGAATCTAGAAGCCAAATGGGACATGGTGGGGACATGTTGGAATGTTCAGAACAAAATCAGACTATTGACTCAAGTCTATAGGGCCATAGTTAGAGTCTGGTGAATGTCTCCTGCTGTCACAGAGGGCAGTACTTAAAGGTTTTCCGCCTTATGTGAAACAAAGCCATGTCCCCTTTTCTCCATCTATTCTAGTGTTTATGTTACTCATTCATACCACAGTCTTTGAGTATCTGTTTTGTGTGGGTACTAAGTGTTAGAATGCTTACTAGGAATAACACATACCACACTCTGCTCTGAGTGCTTGGAAACTGTATTTCATTCAGTCCTTGCCATAACCTATGAGGGTAGACATTCTTAATTTTTTTTTTTTTTTTTTTTTTTGGTTTTTTGAGACAGGGTTTCTCTGTGTAGCTTTGCGCCTTTCCTGGAACTCACTTTGGAGACCAGGCTGGCCTCGAACTCACAGAGATTCACCTGCCTCTGCCTCCCGAGTGCTGGGATTAAAGGCATGCGACACCACTGCCCACATTCTTAATATTTTTATTTTACAGATAAGAAAATAAGGCACAGGAAGATTAACTCAAGGGGACAGAATGAGTTGAAGATCTCGGCTTATCATTGAAACATCTGAATTCATAGCCTATTTTCTGCATCATCCCGTTATATTTGATATGTATCAACTATGTAGTAAAGACAGATATCTAGTAATGCCTTTTTCCATTGAAGAGTAGAGACACTAAAGGCAAGATTGTCCAGGCCAAACAACTTGCTAACATCTTCCTCAAAGCTCTTGATGGGAGCCATTCTTAATGTCTGAAGAACAAGAGAAATATTTTTGATCAAGAGAAACACATGTCTGGTTGATAGAAGAGATTATTGTTACAAAGAATGATTAGACATTCTAATCTAGTGCTTATGCCCTTGGCCATGCACACTCATGTTCAGGGCAAGATGAATCTGTCAGAAAGGCTAGCTTACAGACTTTTTGCTCTCTTCAGGTACAAGTCACAAATAGGCAGCCCTGAGTTCTTTTTTATTGAGTCAAACTCAACTCTGTTGCCTAGGCTGTTCCCAAGTTTACAGGAATCCTCCTGCTTCTGCCTCATGAGTACTGGAATATGGTTGTGGGCCATCATATTTAGCCTAGAGTTTTGGGGGCTCACAAACCCAGAAGCTTTAAGTCCTAAGACTGGGAATTTTATGATTTTAGAAGCCAGAAATCTGTAGTTCTTGTTGCTGCAGCAGAGATGTATTTCTCTGGGTTTTGAGTCCTGTCACCCACCCTACAGTAGGTGGTATGGCATGTCCTGAGTCTCAGGAGTCAGGCTCTTCACATTTTAAACATTGATAACTCTCTAGATCTTTGCTTGAGGGTCTTGCAGTACCAGCTTTCAGAGCCTCTTACCTTCTACAATCTTAGCTCTCCAGTTCTGAAACCTAGCTGTGCTCTCTGGAACTCGTTAGACATCTTTTTTTTTTTTTTTGGTGATAGACAGTCTCAGGCTGAGTGTTACAGGGTCTTAGTGTCTTCTGTTAGAGCGATAAAGACTACAGGTGGGCAATAAAAGATAATTCTGGAGAAGCCTCTGTTGGCGTCTAGTTTTGCAGCTCAAGATGTTGCCCTACTGAGAAGCCTCCAGACTGACCTGAAGAAAACGTGAAAATATGTCTGTTTGTGAGCCAGAAGAGGTGCATGGCATGCTTGTGCACAGCTTCTAATCCCATAGTCACAGCCTCACATGTACATGACTGCTAGTTCTACCAGTTATCAGTCTTACATATAAACCAATCATATGTATTACACATGTGTGGCATGTAAGCATGTCAATCACAAGCTTTTTTGCTGAGTCCTTAGGGCTTGTGCTTTGTCCCACCTTCACTGATATTACACGATCCACAGTCTGTGTTTATGAGTAAGTTACCCCATCTTATGAATTCTGGGTGACATTTTTTATTTGCATTTTTATAAAAATTGTATCAGAATAAAATATCCTCCTGGGTTAAGCAAATGGTGGTAGTCTGTGGGATCTTGTGGGCAAAATTCAGGATAATGGGAGTTTATTTAAAGCAACGCTAGGTTTTGAGCCAAACATCCAGATGATTTGTCTATGAAGACAAATTCTTCTTGGAATTAATTCCTTATGTGTCTGCAAAGTAAGTGACCTCTGTGTGACTTTCCACCTCCTTTTTCTTTTCTTGTAGAGCCTCCTTGGCCATGCACAGGATGAACCTAGCTCTGGCATACTTTGAAAAGGCGATTGGCAACATCATCATGGCCAAGGGTCATGGCACATCCGAACTGATTAGTCTGTATGAAGAAATCGCTCAGATTGAGCAGCTGAGGAAGAACCATGTGCAGGCCATCCAGTATTTGCATCAGGTTGGTTCTTTGGCAAGGTGGTCTTGTTCGGATCCAGACCCAGTTGCTTCTCATAACAAGGAGTTAAGATTGGTCCCTTTAACCCTAGCACCCTAATGGGCAGAATTGGTTCTATGTTGTCTTAGTTAGGGTTTTTTATTGCTATGAAGAGACACTATGACCATGGCAACTCTTATAAGGAAAACATTTAATTGAGGGGGCTCACTGAAGTTTCAGAGGTTCAGTTTATTATCATCATGGTGGGGATCATGGCAGCAGGCAAGCAGATGTGGTGCAGGGGCAATAGTTGAGAGTCCTACATCTTACAGGCAACAGAAAGTTGACTGATTCACTGGGCGGTATCTGAGCATATGAAACCTCTAAGTCTGCCCCCTACAGTGACACACTTCCTCCAACAAGGCCATACCCACCCCAACAAAGCCATACCTCCTAATAGTGTCACTCCCTAAGAGATTATGGGGGCCATTCAAACTACATTCAAACTACCACACATGTTAACCTTGACTTTCTTCCAGCTCCAAAAAAGAGCCTCAAACCTAAAAAAAAAAAAAAAAAAAAAAAAACAACAAAAAAAACCTGACCAGAGGCCCCTGACTCTAGTCAACATATATTATGTTCTGTGACCTGATTGGGAAATAACACAGCCCCTCCTAGGTCTCTCGTCTCTGTCAGTGCTGGGAGGAAACCAAGCTTGAGCCTACCCCAAGAGGAAAAACTCATAGGGGCAGCTGAACTTGACTTGAAGACCAAAAGGAAAGACTGGCGAGACAGCTCGTGACCAAAATTTGATCCCTAGAACCCATGGGAAAGTGGAAGGAAACAGCAGATTCCACAGAATAGCCCTCTGAGTTCCACATGTGTCTGTACATGTAGATGTGCATACATAAGCAAATAATAACAGAAGTAATAATAAATAATTTTTAATGTTTGGCCCATAGAGAATAGCACTATTAGGTGGTCTTGTTGGAGTAGGTGTGGCCTTGTTGAAGGAAGTATATCACTGTGGAGGTGGGCTTGGAGGTCTCATATATGCTCAAGCCACACACAATGTGACAGTTCACTTCCTGTTGCCTGTGGACCAAGATATAGAGCTCTCAGTTCCTTCTCTAGCAACGTGTCTGCCTATACGCCACCACGCTTCCCACAATGACAGCAATGGGCTAGACCTCTGAACTGTAAGCCAACCCCAATTAGATGTTTTCTTTTATAAGAGCTGTCATGGTCATGGTGTCTCTTTACAGCAAAAGAATCCCTGACTAAGACAGGACTCTTATTTGAAAACCCATAGTATTTTGTTATAATATGTCAGATGCCCTTTAAGTTCATTGCGGCTGCTTTTATTTCCAAATCTAAAGTTAAACAAGTGAAAGTGTAACTCACATAGAGGTAACTAATTAACAAATACTCAGGGCAAACCAAAACAAAGGAAGAAATATTGAGCCTATGTTATAAATACCATTTAAGGCACTTCCATTTAAAAATGTGCTTAAATAGTTAGTTAAATTCACCTTTCTCTCTTCTGAATAAAATGCTGCAGTACGGTCAGAAATCTGCTTTTGCCACAGATATACTGACATGCTGGATTTTGTACATGGGGAAAGTAGTGGCACAGCCCCACAGTCTTATGTCAAAAGCCATGGACAATTTGACAACCTAAGATTATAAATACTAGGCAATGGAGAGAAGCATTAAAGGATCTGCTTTGGTGCCAGAGTTACCGCCAGAGAAAGACAAGAGTTTTGAATTTAAAGCTCTTTTAACACTGTGGTCAAGCCAGGTAGTAGTGGCACATGCCTTTGATCCCAGCACTCGGGAGACCAAGGTAGGCAAATCTCTGAGTTTGAGACCAGCCTGGCTATATAGGAAGTTCCAGGACAGCCAGGACTACACAGAGAAACCCTGTCTTGAAAAACCAAAAACCAAACAAACAAAAAAACTGGTCAAATTAGAATGAAGAAAGTAATGAGCATCAATGTTTATAGCAACACCAAAAAATAAGTTAAAATTTATAGAATGTTTTTATCAAGTGCACTTGAGTATGTATTTCATTTAACCCACAAAGACCTTAAAAGTAGGTATCATTATTTTATCTCATTTTTAAGGATCAGAAACGTGAAGCACAGAGTTATAGCCGATTCAGCTGAAGTTATATGGCTAACAAGTGGCAAAGTAGAAATTTGTTTTTTTTTTTTTTTTTTTTTTTTTTTTTTTTTTTGGTTTTCCGAGACAGGGTTTCTCTGTGTAGCTTTGCGCCTTTCCTGGAACTCACTTGGTAGCCCAGGCTGGCCTCGAACTCACAGAGATCCGCCTGCCTCTGCCTCCCGAGTGCTGGGATTAAAGGCGTGCGCCACCACCGCCCGGCCAAAGTAGAAATTTGAACCCAGAAAATCTGACCCAGGAGCTTCTAGTTAAAGGAACAGTACGCACACTTTGCATTGCCTGGCTTCATGGTGGGTGGGTGATGATAATCCCTTTAGCTCTTTGAGATAGTTACAAGTTGGCGGGTGGACCGTTATGCATAGGTGAGTCTGTCCTTGCTGGTAGCTATGGGTCAGCTGATTTCACTCTTCTTTTCTCCTAAGTGACATACTTTCCATTTAAATACAGATAGTTAGTAAAACCACTAATAATTATTATTTTACACTTCTCTAATGGTTACTGAATGCCAGGTGATATTATAAACACTTTACATACATTAATCTATTTAACACTTACAGCAACTGTTTGTGACAAATTCTATTTTTATCATCTTTTTCTCCTATATTTGAAGAAGTTAAGGGACTATCCTCTATCACGGTGTTAGCTAAGTAAGACTGGAGCTCTTGGACCCATGTTTTATGACTTTTTGATACTGAGCTCTCAAGATTCTGAGCTAATGTTATGGTTATGTTCTGCTGTGAGACCTAGTAGAAGTAATGCAGCTAAGATTTAGTTAGAACTGACCACGTGATGCATAGCATCCAGTGTTTGCCTATGCTGACTCCTTTAATCTTTCCTGAGCCCTCATCAGTAAGACCCATACATTCCTTCCTGCATAAGAAGGTGGAATCTCGGGTTGGGGATTTAACTCAGTGGTAGAACACTTGCCTAGCAAGCCCAAGGCCCTGGGTTCGGTCCTCAGCTCTGAAAAAAAAAGTGAAATCTCTCTTTCAAGACCCACAGAAGTAAGTGACTGAGCTGGAACTCGGGCTCTGCTCTCATTTAATTTTGTGTCTAGCTGAGTTGGTTCCCGGTTAGCTAGTAATGCTGACAGCTGCTGAGAAATGCAGTGAAAGGCTGTCACCGGGTACTGATCTTGTCATGGGTTTCTAGACTGTAACAGGGTACTGATCTTGTCATGAGTTTCTAGACTGTAACAGGGTACTGATCTTGTCATGGGTTTCTAGACTGTCACCAGGTACTGATCTTATCATGGGTTTCTAGACTGTCACTGGGTACTGATCTTGTCATGGGTTTCTAGACTATCACCGGGTACTGATCTTGTCATGGATTTCTAGACTGTTACCTGGTACTGATCTTGTCATGGGTTTCTAGACTGTCACCGGGTACCGATCTTGTCATGGGTTTCTAGACTGTCACCGGGTACCGATCTTATCATGGGTTTCTAGACTGTCACCAGGTACTGATCTTGTCATGGGTTTCTAGACTGTCACCGGGTACCGATCTTATCATGGGTTTCTAGACTGTCACCGGGTACTGATCTTGTCATGGGTTTCTAGACTGTCACCGGGTACTGATCTTGTCGTGGGTTTCTAGACTGTCACCAGATACTGATCTTGTCATGGTTTTCTTTTTTTCCAGGCCTATTCTATCTGTGTTTCTTCATTTTCTGAAGTCAGCCCCCAAACTGCTGAGGCGAGTGCTTTACTAGCTAAAGCTTATGCCATGTCTGGAGAATCCCAGCACAGGGGTAGGTAGAGGAGGTGGCCTTGCATTTATCATCACTCCCCAGTGACATGAGAGGCAAACTGATGAATGATCCATAAATAAGAGATTATAGGTAGCTATTCATGTAATGGAAAGATAAAGCTAATACAATTTTGTAAAAAATCAATTCCATAATTACACATGAGGTTACAACTGATAATATCTTCCCAAATTAATTGAGCACCAAAACAAACTATTTTCTATTTCCTGTACTCCTTAGAATATCTGCCCCATTTACCTTTCTAAACTGCAGAGATGACATATACAGTAAGCGTGGCTTACCATGTGAGCTCAGTAGAAGGGGGGCATCAGCTCTTCTCTCCCTGCACTCAGCCTTAACTCCTTTACCCGGCTTTACAAGAGAGAATGATGTAGCAGTTAGAATTTCCAAGACCTGTATTCAAAGATAATGGACTAGGATTTCTAGAGGGAAGCTAAATGTTGAGTGTTTCCTCCAGCAAGACTCCTCTGTCCAGCAAGGTGGTCGGTGTGAAACTGGGTGGCAGAGAGATGGCTGAACGGGTGAGGGAGGCAGTGCTGGCTTGAGCAGCCTGACGAATGCCGGAGTCGACTAAAGGGACTTTTCTCTGTCTTGGCTTCATAGACGATGGGGTGGGGTCTGCCCTGACGGAGGAATTTGGGATTTGTGCAAAATGTAAAATGTCTTTCCCTAGCCGGGCAGTGGCATTAATACACACCTTTAATCCCAGAACTCGGGAGGCAGAGGCAGGTGGATCTCTGTGAGTTCAAGGCCAGGGTTTCTCTGTGTAGCTTTTCGCCTTTCCTGGAACTCACTTTGGAGACCAGGCTGGCCTCGAACTCACCTGCCTCTGCCTCCCGAGTGCTGGGATTAAAGGCGTGCACCACCACTGCCCGTCACAGACACTTTTTAAAAAGCCAAGAACTCAGAATAAGGTTAACTGTAGAGGTGAAAGATCTCAACAAAGAAAAATTTTGAACACTGAAAAACAAAGCCAAAGCAAACACTAGACAGTGCAAAAGAAACTCCCATGCTCATGGATTGACAAAGTAATATTGTGCAAAGGACTATATTAGTGAAAGTAATGCACAGACTCAGCGCAATCCTCACTAAAATCCCAATGATATACTTCATAGCACAAGGGAGGAAATCCTAAAATTCACATGGAATCACAAAAGACCTTAAACAACTAAGGCAGTCCTTACTAGAAAGAGTCATGTTGGAGGTATCACAACTCTGATCTCAAAGTATATCACAGACCCCAGAAACTAAAACGGCATTGTGCTAGTGTAAAAAGAGACAGGGCGCAAAGGAATAGAAAAATCCCTGAAAAAAAACTACACAGCTCCAGTCAGTTAATTTTTGACAAAAGAGTCAAAAACATATATTGCTGGGAAAAATAAAAAATAGTTCCTCTAATGAATGATGCTGGGGAAACTGCTGGTCAACATGTAGAATAGTGAAATCGGGTCCTGGGGTACAGTTGAGAGGGTAGCATGGCCGCCTGTACACACTGAGCCTCGGTTAGAGCCCCGGCACCTCATGAAACTGGCACAGTACTGTGCATCCTCTACCCAGCACTCAGAACCTGAGCAAGAGGACAGAAAGTTCAAGGTCATCCTGCACTATGTAGAGAGTTTGCAGCCAGCCTGGGATATGCAATGTCCTGCTTCATGGAAAGAAAAGAAAGGGAATCCTGTCCCCTAATCTGAACAAAGACTAATTCATAATGGGTCAAAGACCTAAACACAGGACCTGGTCTTGAAACTGCTATTGGAAAACATGGGAAACACTTCAAGATATAGGTATAAGCAAGGACTTTCTGAAAATAACTGTAATAGCACAGGAAACAATCCCATAGACTGACAAATGGAATAACATGACATTAGAAAGCGCCTTACAGCAAATAAAGTAATTATCAGAGTGAAGAGATAGCCTACCAAAGGGGATAAAATATATAAGATATACATTAGATATAAGATTCATATAAATTAAAGAACTACAGAAATTAAACACCAAAAGACCACCCAAATCAATCAATGAATGTTATAATAAACTTAAATAGTTCTCAAAAGAAGAAATAAAATGGTCAATATTTGAAAGTTAAGAAAATGCAAATTAAAATTGCTTTGAGATTCTGACACACCCCAGTAAGAATGGCTTTTATCAGAAAACAAGCAAACAAAAGAACTACTGGCCAGGATGTGTGAAAAGAACCTTTATATACCACTAGTGAGAATGTAAAACTTGCAAAGCCTCTCTGGAAATCAGCATAAAGTTCTAAAAAAAACAAAAAAACCAAAAAAACTAAAATAGAACTTCCATATGACCCAGCTATACCACCCTTAGGTATATAACCAAAGATACTTAAGTCAGCATACCAGAGACATTTGCATATCCTTGGTCATTGCTGCACTTGTTCATAATAACCAGTGTACTGGCTGGTTTTGTATGTCAACTTGACACAAGCTAGAGTCATCGGAGGAAAGAGCCTCAGCTGAGGAAATGCTTCCTTGAGATCCAGCTGTAAGGCATTTTCCCAATTAAGTGATCAATGGGGGTGGGGGAGGAGGGTGGGCAGCCCATGGTAGGTGGTGACTTCCCTGGGCTGGAGGGCCTGGGTTCTATAAGAAGGTGGGCTGAGCAAGCCATGGGGAAGCAAGCCAGTAAGCAGCACTCCTCCATGGCCTCTGCATCAGCTCCTGCCTCCAAGATCCTGTCTTGTTTGAGTTCCTGTCCTGACTTCCTTCAGTGATGAACAGCAATGTTGAAGTGTAAGCCTATAGACCCCTTCCTCCCCAATTTGCTCTTTGGTCATAATGGTTTGATGCAGCAATAGAAACCTTAACAAGACAGCCAGGAAAAGAAACCAGCCTAGATGTTCTTTACATATACAGAGAAGCCAGAGAACAACTTGCAGGAGTCAGTGTTCTCCTTCCATCATGTGGGATGTTGGGGTTGAATTTGGTTCCTCAGGCTTGACCATGGTGCCATGGTCACTGAGCCACCTCACTGGCTTCATTAACAGCAAGAAAGTATAAGCTTTCCAACTAAGGACAGGAGTAAGGCAGAGATATCTTCCCTCCACACTCCTTTCCAACATCATATTAGAAGTCCTAATGCAATAGAACAAGAAAAGAAAAAATGTGCTACTTAGGAATAAGAAATAAAACCTTTATTTGAAGATGATCTGATGATCTAATTTGGAAAACTAAAAAAAAAATCATCATTACCATCATCATCAACTCTTCTGAAACTAATGGACTATAGATAATATGCAGAATTCTAGGTTAATATACAAAAAATCCAGTCACTGTGATTACGACAAAAACAGACAACTGGAATTTCTAATTAAGATGAGAGGATCATTTATATTGGCAACCCAATAAATAAATAATTATAATTCTAACAAAAAATGTGAGAAATGTATATAACAAAACTTTTAAACCTGAAGAAAAAAAATCAAGTAACTAAGAGATGTTTCATGTGCACAGATAAGAGCACTCATTATTTTTTAGATATGAGTTCTTCCTAACAGACTGAATCCTATTCTAAGCAAAATACCAGCAGGTTATTTTGTGTACACTGAGAAACTGAAATGTATGTGGGGTGGCCAATCTCCCGATAGCCAGCACAACACTGGAAGAGGAACAGACTTATTGTAGGTTTACAGTGACCAAGGCAACATGGAACAGGCAAAAGTTCCCATTATTTTTATACATCTTTATATATTGACTATGTAAGCAAATGCTGTATTTGGAATAAAAGACAACATTAAAAGTAAATGAAAGGTTCTTCCCCCCCCCACCACCACTACCATTGAAGAAAGCCTTTGGGACTAAGAAAACACAATTACAGCAAGCACATAGAAAGACTCTATGAAGACAAGAAGTCAAAGCCCAGCTTTTCCTTCAGGGCTGGGTTTTTGTGTGCTTGTTTTAGTTTTCTTTCTCTTTTAAGTCTCTGAAGGGTCTTCAACCCTTAATTTAAGGTTGGTCAGTGTAAAGAGAGACAAGATGGCTAAGTGGCCCACAACTATTGTGTAAACAAGTCCTAATCCAGACTTGAACTTGTTGAGCCATGGGCGGGGGGCGGGGGGGAGGCTCCTGGCAGAAGGAAAAAGCCCATAAGCCATTTGTTTGAGAGCATGGCCAGTTGCAATCTAGGCTGGCCTGGAATTCCTTCTGTAGTCCAGGCTGGCCTAAAACTCATGGCAGTCTTTCCTGCCTCAGCCCCTTGGCTGCTGGAATTATAGGAGTGAGCTACAAAAAAATTGCCAAATCATACATTTATGTGTATACATTAAAGATACATAATAAATACATATATAGTATATATAAACACAAAATATCAAAGTTTTAGCTGAAACATAGTCTTTCAATGTACCTGGAAGTCTAATATGGTAATTATTTTGGTCTTTAGGATATCAGAATTATTTGGACTGATGCACCTTCCCCCTACTTGAAATCCATGCACCCATTTCATCATAAGACTATCGTCTAATTCTAGCCAATCCTGTCGTGGACTTTTTGAAGGTCTCTGTGAAACCTGAAATAGGAGCAGTCACACACTTTAAGCATGAAAATGTCAATGGAGCTCAAGCTGATAATAGACAACTATGAAGGCTTGAAGTTTGCTTTAAATAATCCTTTCCATTTTTCCAGATGCTGTTGAGATTTATTTCATAAGAAGTATTAGTACATATCAAACATTGGGCTCTAAAGATTATGAAACTCTCACCGCCATTGAAGACTTTTGTACATGGCTCATCCAAAATGGCGAAAAACAGGTAAAAGTTACCAAGTCATAAACATGATTCCTATTTTATTTGTTAGATATAGATGGCCTTTTTGTCTCACAGTTCAGAAACTAGAGATCACACAAGTCTCAGATAAAGCTGAGTGTCACACACAGAGCTGCTGTTGCTTACAGTATTGATATAATAATTTGCTTTTGTTGTGCATACGTGAAGTCCTTCAAATCCAGAACATTTTAAGCTCTACCTTTATAAATTTACTAATTTGAATCAGAATTAGCCACCACCTTTGGATCTAACTGAAATGAATGATAAATGGTGCTGTTCACGGTGCTGGTTACCAGAGGAAAGGTCATGGTCACAACAGAATCCAGTATTAGTTTCAGAGTTTTATTAGGAGGAAGGGAATGGGGGAGCACGTGCAGAGGGCAGAGGGAAAGATAGTGGGGTGGGGGAGAGAGAGCAGAGCAGAGAGAGAGGGTGGGGTCTGCATCCAGCTATTTAAGGGCTCCTGATGAAGTGGGTTTATGGAGCTACACCAGGTATGTGCTGATTGTGTGACCAAGTAGTTGTCAGCGCTCACTGATGATGTAAGATGCAAGACCCTTTGCTTAACTCCTGAACTGCGCATGTACGGTCATGTAGCTGGAGTGAGAGCAGAATTCTAACTCTAACTGCTTTAGTTTCTGTTTTTTTGTTTTTTATTTTTCATGGTGGTATTTCCCTTTCAGTCTAACCTTCATCCCTTACTAGCCACAATCTCATCTTTAAAAGTTACGTAAAGTATCTTAGGTGCTATCCTAGCTATCATTTCTAGTGCTGTGATGAAACACCAAGACCATATAAAACTTTGGGAAGGAAAAGGTTTATTTCAGCTTAGAGTTCAACATCACAGTCCATCAGTGTGGGAAGTTAGGGCATAAACCCACAGGGAACAAGCCTGGAAGTAGGAAGTGAAGCAGAGGCCATGGAGGAGTGCTGCCTACTGGCTTGCTCCTCATGGCTTGCCCAGCCTACTTTCTTATAGCACCCAAGACCACGAGGCCAGGAGTGGTACCACCCACAATTGGCTGAGCCCTCCCCATCAATCCCTAATAAAACGACGCACAGCTGATGTATAGATGCATTTTCTCAATTGAGGTTCCCTCTTCTCCAGCTTGTGTCAAGTTGACATTAAAACTAACCAGTACAGATACTGACATTTTTATTTAATGATCCCATTAGTCATTTGCTTAGGAAGTTGTGACCTAAGCTTTATGTATTTAAACACAGTGAAGACCTTTGCGTGTTATGAGATTCCATATGACTTTGAGCTGTCCAAACCAACCTTATACTTCCTCAGGCAAGTGGGGACAATTGGATAGATCTGATATCAGCCATATGACAACTTATACATTAAAAGTGAGTGTATAAGCATATGGTTAAGAATGTGTTTCCTTTCACTAATAAAAGCTTCTTTTATGCCACATATAAGTATTTTTAAAACTAATGTTTTTTATTAACTAGTATTTGTAAAAATGAAAGAAACATAGTGACTGTGACATGTTCTAATGGCTCAGATGGTTAATTTTGAATCTCAGTGCCATAGAATAATGACATGTCTATAATTTTACTTTCAAAGATGAGTTTTTCAGCCTTTGGTAGCTTTTTCTTGTTAAATGATGGTGTAATGAACATCACGATCTTGTTTATGATAAAATTGCACACCCGGTGCTTCACAGCCCTCCTCTTCTAAACCCAGGTGCTCTCTCAGACAGCAAGCTCTTGGGAAAAGACAAAAAAAGGCCTGAGTGCAAGTGATTGCTAATCTATTATCAAGCAGGACTGTGAAGTGATAGCTTTGGCGTTTAGAAAGGAAGCTCCATGAGGACAGGAACGGTGGTCTGCTGTGTTCACTGCTCTGTGCCCAGTGTGTCAAACAGTAACTAGCACATAGTAGGTGCTCAATAAGTATTTCATGAAGCTGTTAATTTCGCTGCACATCTTCTGCTTTGAAAAGGAATTCTTTAGCCGACTTCCAAGCCTAGTGTGAGCTATAGACTCATTGTAGAGTACCAGAAGAGATGCATATGACTTGGTCATGTGTTCTACAGACTAGAAGAGAAGGAAATTTCCACAACCCAGTAAAGGCCACATATGAAAAGCCCATGCTGGTATCTGTAGCATGAATCTTAAAAGTTCTTATTAATAAAATCAAATCTGAAGCCAGTTATTGGGGTGAAATGCTGGAAGATCAGAGAGACAGAACAAGCCACAGCTATCTCACCTTGCCAATTCCTCAGTTGGTCCTGTTTCCTCAGACTGGAAGCTTCTGTGTCCTCATCCCAATGGCTCTCAGCTGAACTGCTGCTCGAAAGCCTGAAGCTTAACCAGCTAAATGCTTAACCAGGCCAAATGCTTAACCAGCCTAATGCTTCTAGTTTCTGGTCCTCAACGCCTTATAAACCTTTCTGGTTTCTATCACCACTCCCTGGGATTAAAGGCTGCTTTCTGGGATTAAAGGCATGAGTCACCATGCCTGGCTGTTTCCAGTGCGGCCTTGAACTCAGAGATCCAGAGGGATTTCTGTCTCTGGAATGCTAGGATTATAGGCGTGTGCTAACATTTTCTAGCCTAAGTATCTTGTGGCTTTTCTGTTCTCTGGCCCCAGATAAGTTTATTAAGGTACAAAATATTTTGGGGAACACAATACTACCACAGGTATCATAGTCTGTGGGTAAAACTGGAAGCTTTTCCTCTGAATGTTATAGAGTAGGAACAGGACAAGAATGCCCACTCTCAACACTTCCTTTTAATGTTGAGCTGAAAGCACCAGCCAAAGTGAGTGGGCCGGAAAAAGAAACAAACAGTATTCAAATTAGAAAGGAGGCTGAATTGTCTCTTTAGAATGATGAAACCATATGAAAGTCCTAAAGATCTCTCTCTCTCTCTCTCTCTCTCTCTCTCTCTCTCTCTCTCTCTCTCTCTCTTTCTCTGCCTCTCTTCTCCTCCCCCTCTCTCTTTCACACAACTTAAAACTAATAAGTTCAACCAATCTACAAAAGACAAAAGAAACACAAAATAGGTTTTGTATCTGTACACTATTAATGAAAAATCTAAAAGTAAAGTAAGAAAATAATCCCATTTACATGAGTATATAAAGAAAGAGGACATACATAGAAATAAATTTACCCAGGTAGGTAAAATATTTTCGAATACTGAGAAAAATAAACAGAATTTTTTAACTGTATCTACACTTTCCTATTCTGAAAAATACAAAGGCACAGAGTTTTGAGATTCCTGAATTATTGGCACTGCTTCCTGAAAAGCAGCAGTTTATATCCTTAAATATGTATTATTCAACAACCCCTACCCCTAAGCCTCAGGGAACATTGCAGGAGAGGAGATGGAAAGATTGTAAGAGCCAAAGGAGCAGTTTTGCTGTGAGATGGTTTTCTCTAGACAGAACATGCATGCTGCATCCATGAACTCAAAAACAATAAAACCTGCACCAGACCACACCAGTGGACATCCCAATGTGGGGAGGATCGCGCACAGGGTGCACTCCCAGATGAAGACCTGCAGCCAGTAGGTGACTGAGGAGGGAGGGAGAATCAAGTTTTCCTCAGAGGTGAGCCCCCTAATACGTTGTCAAGCATACATGGTGGTCCCTACACCCGGATGCATATGGAAGAGGTCATGAACTTGAGAGAGAAATGTGTGTGGGGGGATACATGGAAGAAGATGAAGAGAAGAGAATGAAGGGTAGAAATGAGGTAAACACAGCATACTCAGTATGAAATTCTCAAAACTATTAAAATACGTAAACTGTTTTGTTTAATGCGGCACACAAAAGATGATGATTATATGTTCAACTTAGCGCTAAAGAAATGTTCTGTTTATACATTCAAAAATGGGTAATTGGGCAATGCCATACATAGCATACGAGTGTACAGCAATAACTAAGCCTCTTCGCTCTTTCTAAATAACACACATTGGTGTGTGGAAACACCAAGGGCTCTGTAGATAGCTAAAGCCATTGAAAGCAGAAAGAATCCAGCTGGAGCCATCAATTACCTGACTTCAAACTGCACTACAGAGTCATAGTGATAGACAGCATGGCATTAGCACAGAAACAGACACATAGATCAGTGGAACATAACAGAAGACCCAGAGACAAACCCCAACACCTAATCTTGACAAAGGTGCTGAAAACATGCGCTAGGAAAACGATGACCTCTTCCGCAAGTAGTGCTGGCAATACTAGGTATCCCCTGAAGAAAAATCAATTAATTCTACATTTCTCACTCTGAACAAAAGGGTACTCAAACTGGATCAAAGGTCATAATTTAAAACCAGAAATGCTGATGCTGCTAATGAAAAACATTAAACAACAACAAAACAAAACAAAAACTTGAGAACATAAGTATGGGCAACACATTTCTAAATACTATCTCGCTAGCACAAGAAACTGCTCCAAGGATCCACAGACCAAATTATGTGAGATTTAAAAGCTCCTTAATAGAAAAAGAAACCACCAGATAGTAACCACCCAGCAAGGCTTAACAGTTCCTTCAGGCAAAGGGTTGACATTATATAAGGAATTGTGAACACTAGACACCAAAGGGGAGGGAAAAGAAAACTCCACAGTGACCTGAACAGACAGTTCTCAAAAGAAGAAACACAAATGCCGAATAAATGTTTTTTTTTTAAGATGTCTAACATCTGTAGCCATTGCTGGAATTCCATCTCACCTGAGTGAGAACAGTTAGAAAATCAAGAAAACAAATTTCTAGAAATCTATGGCAGCAAATGCTGGCAATGGTGTTCTGAAAGAGGAACCTGTTGTTGGTGGAAATCAGTGTAGATGCCCCTCAAAGAAGTAAAACTAAAACTGCCACATAACTCAGCTATTCCACTTCTGGGCATATGCCCAGCGGGCTCTCTGTCCTACCACCAAGATCCTTGCAAATCCACCTTTATTGCTGTTTGTTTCACAATAGCAAGGAAGTGTGATCAGCCTGGATGTCCACTGAGTAAAGAATGGATAATGGACATGTGGTACATAAGTGCAATGACATTTAGTCAGCCAGTAAAGAAAGATGTTCAGAGACAGAGGCAGGCGGATCTCTGTGAGTTTGAGGCCAGCCTGGTCTACAAAGTGAGTTTCAGGACAGCCAGGGCTACAAAGAAAAACCCTGTCTCAAAAATAAAATAAAATAAAGAAAGAAAGAAGCAAGGAAGGAAGGGAGGGAGGATGGGAGGGAGGTGTAGCTGAAGTTTTCTCCAGTCCTGCCTGGCCCATGGTCAGGACAAATCTCTCTCACCCACTAGTCCCACAGTCGCTTAGATCCAACTGAGTAAACACACAGAGACTTATATTGCTTACAAACTGTATGGCTGCAGCAGGCTTCTTGTTATCTAGTTCTTATATATTAAATTAACCCATGTCTATCAGTCTAGAAGTTGCCACATGGCTCGTGGCTTACCGGTACCTTACACCTCACTTTTCATGGTGGTGGCTGGCAGTGTCTCTCTGCCTCAGCCTTCCACTTCCCAGAATTCTCCTCTCTCCTTGTCCTGACTATACTTTCTGCCTGGCTACTGGCCAACCAGTGTTTTATTTGTTAACCAATAAGAGCAACACATTTAACATACAGAACATCCCACAGCAGGGAGGGAGGGAGGGAGGGAGGGAGGGAGGGAGGGAGGGAGGGAGGAAGGAAGGAAAGAAAGAAAGAGAGAAGAAAGGAATAAAGAAGAAAAGTTTTCTGGAAGATGGTGGAACTAGAAAGCATTATATTAGAACAGCGTTTCTCAACCTGTGGGTCTCTGTTTGGGAGTAGCCTAAGACCATAGGAAAACACAGATATTTATAACACAATTCATAGCCATAGCAAAATTACAGTTATGAAGTAGCAACAAAAATAATTTTATGGTTGGGGGTCACCACAACCCTGTATTAAAGGGTCGCAGCATTAGGAAGGTTGAGAACCACTGAACTAGGAGGTAGCCCAGGCTCAGAAGGACAAATGTCCTTTTCATATGTGGATCCTAACCTCTGTTAAATGTGTGTATTCAGGCTCAGCACGTTGGCACAGGCCTTTAATCCCAGCACTGGGAGGTAGAGGCAAGCAGAGCCCTGTGAGGTTAATCTGGTCTACATAGCAAGTTTCAGGCCAGGCACAACTACGTAAGGAAAACCAGCTTCAAAAGGGAAAAAGAATGTGTACCTGGAGGGGGCTTTAAAGGAAGCGGGTAGGGAAGACGGTGGAACAGAGTGGATGAAAGAATGATGGGGTAAAGGAGGAGGTGTACGGACAGCAGACGTGTGTGCACATGCAGGTGTAGAATTCATCTAAATGAAATACATATAAAAATCTCACAGAAACCTGCTACTTTATAAGTTAATTTAAAAATTGTATTTTACATATTTTTAAAAAGACAAAACATTGGGAAGGCAAATGCAGACAACTGACACGATGAATGGTTTATGTTGATCTACACTGAACTTTCTGCTGTGGAGTGAGTAGATTAGAGAGGGCACTGTCATGGAAGATGAGTGGCTTAGGGCGGTGGTGGCGCACGCCTGTAATCCCAGCACTTGGCGGCAGAGGCAGGTGGATCTCTGTGAGTTCGAGGCCAGCCTGGTCTACAGAGCGAGTTCCAGGACAGCCAGGGCTACATACAGAGAAACCCTGTCTTGAAAAACAAAACAAAACAAAACAAAACAAAAAATGTCAAAGTTATGAAAGAGAAAAGGGAGGCAAGAACTATTATGGAGAAGAAAGAATTACAAAAGCAAAAACACAACTGTGATCAGACACTCCACTTTTTAAAATTATAAATAATATTATTGAAATAACTGGAAAATGTACATGTTTGGTCAATAGTATTGTATCCATATAACATTAGCATGACAATGGTATTGCTCTATAGAATAGTCTTGCGCTGAGAAGATATGGGGTTCAATATTTAGGAATAAAGTTTCTCCATGTCTATAATTTATTTTTAATAACAATGTATGCACATGTACTCATCTTCACATATACATACATATATGTATAGTTAAGAAAAAACAATAAAATAAATGTGGGGAAATGGTACTCACTTGTGAATCTAGGTGAAAATTTTATGAGTGTTGATTCTGCTATTCTTTGGCTTTTCTGAAAGTTTGAAAAGTGGAAGAAACAAAGAGTCGGGGCTATGGAATTTAGACTGGCATGGAATCCTGATCCTGTGGCCAAAGTGATCTAGAGAAAGAGCTTAGCTTTTATTAGGCCCCTTTCCATTGTCTGTAAAGTCAGTACAGTGATAGCCCTTATCCTATAGAACATCGTGAAGATTAACGGATACTGTACATGTGGATTAACTGGCATTAACTATCATTGTTAATATTAATTCATAATATGGTAGAGTACTTGGGTGAGTCATCATAACTGACTGCTTCTGACTGTGTAATTGTGGGGTAAAAGGACCTTTTTCACAGTATCCATGCCATAGACATGGTTAATTTTTTTTAATTTATATTCCCTAGGTGGCTTACAAACTGATAAAGTATACACTGAACTCTCGCACCTATGGTAACTGTGGTAAGAAAGTAGCTGAAACCTTTTATAACATGGGCAGCATCTGTTTTGCCAAAGGAGAGCTCAGAAATGCGATTCAGCTGCTAAGGAAGGTGAGCAAAGAAAAGCAACGTCTGGCTGATTTTGTTACATTTTTGTTTTCATGGACTTATTATAAGCAGGATATGGGGAATGGTGTGTGTATATATGTATGTGTATTATTCAGAGTTCTCTATAGGAACAGAACTGATAGCATTAATACACACACACACACACACACACACACACACACACACACACACACATACACACACACACATACACACACACAAGGATTTATTAGAGTGGCTTGCAGGCTGTGGTCCAGCTAGTCCAACCATGGCTTTCTACCTGCACAAAGTTCAAGAATCTAGTGGTTGCTCAGTCCATGATGTTTGATGTCTTCACTGGTCTTCAGTATATGCTGGGATCCTGAAGAAGTAGGCTCTAATGCTGGTGATGGGATGGATTTGCCAGCGAGAGTGAGGGCAAGCAGGCAAAGAGCAAAAGCTTCCTTCTTCTGTGTCCTTTATATAGGCTTCCAGCAAGGAGGTGTGACCCAGATTGAAGGTAGATTTTTTTCACCTCAAAAGACCTCGATTTTTTTCATTTAAAAGTTTTTTTTTTTCATTTTGCATACCAACCACAGATCCCCCTCTCTCCCCTCCTCCAGCTCCTTCACTTCCTCCCCACCCCCCCATCCACTCCCCAGAGAGGGTAAGTGGGAAGTCAACAAAGAAAAAACCTAGATTAAAGGTGGGGCTTCCCATTTCAAATGGCTTGATTTAATTAAGAAAAATCCCTCACAGTTGTACCCACCTGCCTGGGTTTTATAGTTAATTCTAGATGTAGTCAAGCTGACGATCAAGAACAGTCATCACAACATGTATATCTTTTCTCTTCCAATTTTTTTAAACCTTTGTAAGGTATATAACCAATGAGTATGCCAACAGAACAAAAGGCTAGAGACTCAGTGAGCTACACCAGGTATGGTGGTGCACTGCTTTGGTTCCTGTACTCAGGAGGCAGAGGCAGGTGGATCTCTGTGAGTTCAAGGCCAGCTTGGTCTACAGAGTGAGTTCCAGGACATCCAGGGCTACACAGAGAAACCCTGTCTCAAACAAACAAACAAAAAACAGAAAGACTTCAAGGAGAGCATGAGCATAAAACCTACAAAGTCAGAAAACTGCTCACTGAAAAGATGATCATTTGAGGCCTACAGATGAGCTGAAAAAAATGCTAAGGGTGAAGTGAGAAAGGGCTTCTGGGGAAGCAACAGACCAATAAACACTCAAGGCCACAGTGAACGTGATGACAGGAAAATGAAGAGTCTGTGTGCACAGACGTTGAGCAGTGTTCCTCAGATCTAGAACTGAAACATAGCGAAAGGAACAAAATCAGATTCCCGAGCTGCACCCACCTGCCCGTTTCAGAGGTTCCGAGTTGTGTCTAGAGGCTGGTTTTCTGTTTTGTTTTTTAATATTACAGAGGCAATTTTTAACATCTTGCTGATTTTAAAGATCAATGATTTATATGATGAATTACAAAAGCTCTTTTAGGAACTTATAGTGTAAACTATCATGAGAAAATGGTTGATGTGTTTCAAGTAAGAACTTTAAGAACTGTACGGATTTCCAAAGAAGAAATTAGAATAACTAATAGACCTCGTACAGAGATCACTGAGCAACCTTTCTGAAATGAAAAAGGACCTTACTATAGACATGGTAAAGGCGTTACAGTTCAGATCCAGAATGTCCCCACAGACTCATGCTTTGGACACATGGTCCTCAGCTCAGGACACAATTTAAGGAGGGTGTGAAACAGGTGGCAGGCTCCCTAGCTGGTGGAAGGTCACTGGGGGTTGACCTGGAAGGTTATGACTGCTTCTGGTTTCAGGGTAGCTTACCAGCATCCTGACTGCAATGTGAGTCTGCTCTCAATGAGACTGAAATGGACTGTGCTAATGAAGACTGGGGTGGGTCAGGAACTGCCCCCAGAACTGCAAAGAAGAGGAGAGTCTCGAGTATTACTAAGGACCAGTCTTAATAATCTTCTTCTTCCCAGGGGCCCAGAAGAGAGGCTATGAATGGCAAAAATTATTTTTGGAGAAAGAATCTAAGTACACCGAGCTCTCTTGTCCATCTGCTTTATTCCTCTGGGATAAAACTCTGTCTACACAGTTTCAGTTCTGCTCTCATGCCTAGCTCCTTTCTTGCCTGATTTCTCTCTACATTTATCTGCTGTCCCCTCTAAGTTCTATCTTAATTCTCTCATCTTAGTTCCGCCCCATCTAGGTTCTTATCCATCTAATTCTTTCCCATCTTAGCTCCTCTCCCATCTCTTTCTTTCTCATCTTGTTCTTCCTCATCTGGCTCTTCCTCATCTTCCATCTCATTCCTCTAATACTTTCTTCTAGCCCTTTAATCTAGTTCTTCCCCATCTCAGTTCATTCCTCTCCAGTTCTTACCCATCTAGTTCTTCCATTCTCTTTTCTCTTCTCTGTCTAGTCCTTGCTCTGAAGATAAAACTGCCTTTTATTCCTTTGGCCCTTATCTCTCCAAGCTATCTCTGCTCCCACAGTTTCTGGCAGGGCAGGGGAAGTGTGCTCAGTCACTAGGCAACTTGGCTAAGCAACTTCCAGTCACAGCTAGATGTACCTGTAAGCAGGAACCCCTTACTTCTGAGTTAATTGTTAAGGGTGGATCTAAAACTAGAGATAAGACTTTGGAAAGGAAAAGGTTAAGCTTAATTAGCACATCCCTCAGGCCTTCTTAACAGATAGTCTGGATGCTTAAGTCTGTTCTTAGAGAGTACAGAGGTATCTCTGATAAGATACTTTCGTCAGTCTAGGGATGGTCCTGGCCGGATGCTGCTAATGACAATAATTACAGAAAGGCCTGAAGTTAGGGATCCTGTTTGCATTACTGCTCAGAGGGTTATCTAAATATTCCCTTAGTAGAGAGGAAATTGTGCCCAAAGAATGATGGAAAAGCCACAATAGCACACGAGAAATTCATAGTAGGAAACGGCTGATAATCAAAAGCCATTATCACCAAGACTCCTTGAGCCTCAGTGTGACCTCTGGAAGGCCCTTGGCTTCTTCCAGGTATTAGCTTGTCATAATCAGCTGAAATCTTACTTCATATATTTTTGCGGCTTGCAGCAGGAGAGAGCATCAGCTTTAGATGCTGAGCAGAGACGCTTTGTCAGACAGAGGAAGAGAAACATGTGGATGTATTTCTAGTGGTACTTTTGGCTGATGTCTTTCTTGGTAATCTCAGGTTTCACATAAAAGGAATCAAATGATTAATTCATAAAATTTAAAAAAGACAGATATTTAGAAGTTATAATCTGTGCCAGAATAACTTTAATTAATGTCTAGTAAATGTACACCATATTTGGAGGTGTACAATTTGATCAGCTCTATATACAGATGAAACTGTTGCTCCAATCAATACAATGTATATAGCAGCTACTCCCAGATGTTCCCTGATATCCCTGTGTAGTTCATCAATTCCACATTATCTTCTGATACTGGCAGAACAGCAGCAACAACCAAACCAAGCAAAAAAATTAAAAAAATAAAAAATAAATAAATAAACCAGAAACATGGGTCAATGGAATTGAGGACCCAGAAATAAACATTTATAGAGACATAATCTTTGACAAAGGTGTCAAAAACACGCATTGGAAAAAAAGACAGCCTCTTCAACAAATAGTGCTGGGAAATGTATACCTACCTTCAGAACAATGAAACTAGATCCGTGAGACACAGCTAAGGAGGTTCTAAGAGGAAAATTCATAGCTCTGAATGCTTACATCAAAACACATTCATATCTAAAATATCTTAATGTACCTGAAGGTTTTAGAAAATCAAAATAAGCCAAACCCCAAAGTAGTAGGCTAAAGAAATAACAAATGCCATGTCATTCATGACAGTATTGGATATGGATCCATAGTAGATGTCCACCAACATATGAATGTATAAAGGAAATATGGCATGTAAACATAGTGGAATTTTATTGAGGAAAGACATTGTCACATTTTTCTCATATGTTTAAACTGGAGTGTGAGTGTGTGTGTGTGTGTGTGTGTGTGTGTGTGTGTGTGTGTGTGTGTGTGTAGGACATGAAAGTAGAAAAATAACTATGAGGAGAAGAGTCTAAAGAGAAGGGGAAGGAGGAACAAGAGAGCGTGATGGAAATGTGTGAATGAAAGCAGAAGGATGGACTATTTGGGGTGAGGAAGGGGTCACTCATAAGGGGAAAGTGGCCACTGGGCCAAGTAAGAACAAAGTAAAATGATATATACATATGGAAATGAAAATATCACAATGAAACCCACTGCTCTGCATGCTAACAAACTTAATGAAGATTTCTCTGTGTGTCCAGATTCTTCTGTTCCATTGATTTGTCTGTCTGTGTGCTAATGCATATTGAATAGAGTAGCTTTAAAACAAGGCTTAAATTGGGGCCGGGCGGTGGTGGCGCACGCCTTTAATCCCAGCACTCGGGAGGCAGAGGCAGGTGGATCTCTGTGAGTTCGAGGCCAGCCTGGTCTACCAAGTGAGTTCCAGGAAAGGCGCAAAGCTACACAGAGAAACCCTGTCTTGAAAAACCAAAAAAAAAAAAAAAAAACAAAAAAACAAAAAAAAAAACAAGGCTTAAATTGGGGATGTTCTAGTTCTCATTCACATTTGTTGATGGTATTATTTTTTTTTACATTTCCAGAGGAATTTTACAGTTGCTATGTCAATTCATATTTTAAAACTTGCTGGAATTTTGACTGAGATTGCATAGAGAGCCCAGATTTGTTTGTAGAGAATTGGCATTTTAATAGTGCTTGTTATCTCTCTCAAGAATATGGATTACAGAATTAATACAAATTATAACTTATTTGCAGTAATATTTTGTAGTTTCCAATATATGTCTTGTACATATTCTCTCATATTTATCTGATTTTGCATTTTTATCCCATTTAAAATACATCACTTTGAACTTCACTTTCTGATTATTTGTTGCTGGTATACGGACACACTATTGATCTGGGTTTTGTATAATTTTATGTCTCATGACCTTGATACATTTGCTTAACTTGTTAGTTCCAGTACTGTGTTGTAGATTTTCTAAAGAGATAGTCATATCATGTGCTAATAAGTACTGTATCTTTTATTCCAAGCTGGATGATTTGTATTTCTTTTTCTTATCTTACTGCACTGGTTAGAATACAGAAGCTGTGTCAAGTAGACCAGATGAGAACAGATACCTTTGTCTGAGCCCAAACTTGGTGAAAAAATTATTTAGACTTTCATTATTAGAGTTGATTTTAGCTGTAGATCTTTTCAGATATTGTATTATGTTGAAGAAGTTTTCATTTCCTTCTGAGTTGGTGAGAGTTTTTAATTAGAAATAGATGTTGAATACTATGAAATTATTATTCTGTCTCTACTGAGATGATCCATGGCTAGTTTCTATTTAAATAGTTCCATTTTTGTGTCTTCAAGTTCTCTATTTTTTTAATTTAGAATCAAAACAGTTGTTAATCCTATCCAGTTTATTTTCATGCCAGACATCTTTATTTCCAAGATATCTGTGTGTGTGTGTGTATCCATGTCTCTGTTTAACCTTAAAAGAAACACACACATAAACACCCACCCACACACACACACACACACACACACACACACACACACACACACACACGCACAAGTGGGAGGGGTGAATGGAGAATGAATATAGTTCCAATGATAGTTTTAATGTTGTTGTTCTTCTTTTTCTTCTTTTCTTTTTCTTTTTCTTTTTTTGTTGTTTTGGTTTTGGTGACAGAGTCTCATCACTATAGCTCAGACTCATGATCCTTCTTGCTTTAGCTTCCTGAGTGCTGGATTATAGGAATGTGCCACTGTGCTCATATGTTTCCTGGTTAGTTAGGATTGGTTGCTTTTTATCATTATGGGTCTCACTAGTTTTTTGTTTTCACACTGAGTGAGTAATCTTTGTTTGGATACTAGAGTCCTGGAACTCACTCTGTAAACCAGGGTGGCCTCAAACTCAGAGATCCTCCTGCCTCTGCCTCCCGAGTGCTGGGATTAAAGGCTGACATAGATCTTATTATTGGATATTGGATCTCATTGTTATTCTTGAAATTCATTCCAGTTAAACTACTTGTACACAACTTGGTCCATGCATTGCTTTGAAGATCTCACAGGAGACTAGACACCATTTAGTCAAGGGTGAGAACAGGCACTAACTTGACCTGGTATAAACGCTCTGCCCAGCATCCCCTCCCCTAGATGACTCCTTTTGTGCATTCTGCAGTTTTCTCTCATGCAAGGGCTAACCTTGGCTACTTGAGAAGGACTCACGGAAGATACGCATTGTCTCCTCTCTGCTACAATTTTCCAAGAGTCTTCTTGGACTCTCAGCTCTATGAGAGATTCTGGTAACCTAATTTGGTCTCTCTTCTCTGTGTGCAAGCCCAGACCAGAAATACAAAGCAGTAGCCTAGGATAATCATGCTGTTTACCATACTTTCTCTCTTTGGGATAATCACAGTCTTTTATTGCTTGATGTCTAGTGTCTTGAAAATCAGTTCATGAATTTGCATACTTCCTATTGGCTGTTCGAGATAGAGATTAAATCTGGTTCTATTATTCCATTTTATGTGGAAACAAATGTTAACAATAAAATGCTAAGAAACCTGCCTAAGAATAAAGTGATTGGCATCAGACTACAAGGCAGTTTTGCCAGGCATACATGGAGTTTAATTGTATCTATTTAGTTTGAGTTATTTAAAAAATCCTGAGAGAAACCACTGTTGTAGCCATGTCTTAAGGAGGGACTCTATCACTTTTGGGTCCTGTTACTTCGGTCATTTGTAGCAATGGATACAGTAAACTGGACTGCATATATATTGCATGCAGGATACAGAAAGTAACGTGAGCCTTCAGTCCACACTGCTTTTCTCTTTGACCAGGAACCAATGGAATGAAGTACAGGTATTTTCATATGTAAACTTGTGACTCTGCAGGTCCACTAGGCTGCTTCTGATTTTAGTTTGTAATTGACATTGACATGTTTGCTCTGGGTCTCTGTAACCTGTTACGTTTCTCATTTCACCTACAGTGTCTGATGGTTCAAATTCTTATCTATGGAAGTAAGCATATTAAGAGCAGAGAGACTAAAAACCTCCTTACCCTATTGCAGAGGTAAGTTCTGCATCTGGATACAAACCATGTCGTCATTATGGGCATATGAACCAGCCTGCCTCTGATGCAGTCAGGTATTGGTGACTATCTAGTAAGGCAAAATCTCACCTCAGATATGAGTTTTGTCAAGTTCTATACTGGACGTAATTAGTTCAGCTCCTATTAGCTTAGGACCCAGACTTATAGGAGTTGGCTGTAACAATATGTAGTATATCATTACATATGCAAATACATTAAGCATATCACCTCAGTGCTGAGCATTTTAGCCAAATACTCCATGACAAATCTTTGCTGATAGTATGATAGCCACAATATTGTGTATTTATGGATTTCTACAAAGTCAATAAGTGAATACATTAAAATTATTTTTTCTCATTGAGTATATCTAGGTCTCTAAATATAAGGCAGGTATTTGGGCAGATTTAGCATGTTCAGATTTTATATATATATATATATATATATATATATATATATATATATATATTTAGGTTTAAGCCAAAGGAAATAATGCTTGGCAGAGACCATTCTCTTCCCTTTTCTTATCATTGATACTTACACATCTCAATGTGATACTAATCTTGAATTGTTCCCTTCTAAGAAAAAAGAAGCTAAAAATTTTTACGTGTTTGCTAAAACCCCCAACTGACCTAGGTCCTGCTTAGAAACAATTTCATTTAAACTTCTATAACTACTCAATACAAAGCTCTCATTTGACAGAATGGAACCGAAGGTTCTGAAGATTTTTCTCAAAGCCACAGTCTTAGAGATTTGGATCCAAGTACATGTGACCCTAAAAGTGGTATACTTTTCTCAGAAAGTTCTTTAACAAAGAGGTTACCAGTTTATGAGTATCTTAGTTAGGGTTTCTATTGCTGTGAAGAGGCACCATGAACATGGCAATTCTTATAAAGAAAAAAAAACATTTAATTGGGATGGCTTAATTTTCAGAGGTTTAGCCTATTATCATCATGGTGTGATATGGTGGTGTGCAGGCAGACATGGTGCAGAAGAAGTAATTGAGGGTCCTGCATCTTGACCTGAAGGCAACAGCAAGTGATCTGAGACACTGGGCATGGCTTGAGCATATATGAGACCTCAAAGCCTGCCTCTACAATGACACACTTCCTCCAGCAAGGCCACACCTACTCCAACAAAGCCACACCTCCTAATAGTGCCACTTCCTATGAGCTTATGGGGGAAAATTATACTCAAACTACCACAATGGGTGAGGTTAGGACTCTGATTTCATTCACCAGAAGTGGTTCCTAATCAGTCCATCCTCAGCAGACTCATCAGGTTAAACAGGTGGGAAAGATGAGCTTGAAGAACAGTTGCAGCCCATTCTATCCACACCAGCCTCAGTCAGCCACACTTCAGGTAGGTCCTGAAGAAGGTTATTGCCTTCTATAACATTCAGGTTAGGGGTACAGAGAAACAGCCACACAAAGAAACAGGGAGGAATTTGCTCCCTGCTTGCAAGTGTGTATAAAAGCGTATTTCTTAACCAAAACAATAAGAATATGGAAAGCTAGAGTAAAGATCTCCTTCTATTTCTCTAACACATGTTATTTTTGACTCATAAACCACAGCTGGGTAGGTATGTTTTTCTCTCAGGCTGAAACTGAAGCTTAGGGTGTTTTGGGTAAGATCTGAACTAAAGTTGATCAGACTCTTTTTCTTTTGCTATGTAGTAAGGACTTCAGTGGACTTGAGATATACACATGGGTACAGCAATGCAGCCGACACACTCCAGAACCATTTCTGTATGGAAAACCTGAGAATCGATTTGCTTAAGCTAGGCTGCCCAGAAAGAGGCAGAGCTGGGATTTCACACAGGTCTCTCCAACTTCAGAATGTGGCCTCTGGAGGCAGTCTAGCTTCTACTATAAAAGCAGATTCAAAACTCAAGGCTTCAATTCTCCACTCTCTCATCTTAGAGAACTTACTTTAACGCCCTTAGCCTTACTTAGAACTCACTTAACTCCTGTAGCCTGGAGTTACGCACCACTATAATAGGGGCACTTCCCTCTCATTTCTGATTAATGAGACCATACATAATGGTCAGGCTCTAGCCAGTTTTAAATCTTAAATGTTCACTGATTGTCGACATCATAATAAAATGTCAATAATGATAGTAATTTTTTTCTGAAGTGTAGACATAATGAACCAGAATGTTTAAATGAGTCATATATTACCATATTATTATTTTATGTTAAGAGAAGGGTAATGAATGTTCATGACTGGAGTAAGACTTATAATTTTAACTTATTTTTACCACCTAGAAAGTACATGAACCTGAGCAAATCTGCTACTCCTCCTTAAGCCTTGGCTCACTAACATATCAGTAAATCATGAGTTGTTAGGACTTTTTAAGTCATAAGGATTGAAGCAGAGTCCTGTCTATACGTGCCCAACAGAGTATCTGCTAAGTCAGTGTTAGTTGAACATTCTTCCCTCCCCTTGCTTACGGAACACTCACTGCCTCTTACTTTTAAGGCAACACATCAGAATACTTGAAATCTGAGGTAACTGTTAGTCAGAATCACCATATTTTGTGATTGAGGATTTGACACTCTGCCCTATTCAATGTACCTATTGTGTTTTGAAAATACTACTAATGAAACAACAACAAAAATAAAAACAACAACATGCAATTTCAGAGACAAAATACAGTCTCTTTCCTCAAATTTGGAGTAAAACTTCTACCCAGCTTGTATTCAAACAAGAGAAACCTCAGCGCTGAAGAGATGGCTAAGTCAGTTAAAGGAACCTGCCGCCACCTCTGAAGATAATCCCTGAGACACACACGGTGGGAGAAGAGAAAAGACTCCTGCAAATTGTCCTTTCCCCTCCAAATGCATGCCAATGCTTACCATGGCATGCATGCATGAGTGCACACACACACCAAAACAAACAAACAAAAAGTAAATATAAAGATACGAGACCCACAACTGGTCAAGGTTCAAATAATAAGTGACTGCTGAGTGCTCAGCCCTAAAGGAGACATCAATCGATCGATTGATCTGCACTCCCCTCCTAGGGCTCAGGGATCGCTGTGGAAGAGGCAGCAGAAAGACTGTAAGGGGTAGGGTGTTTGGGTGACCACAAGGAAACAATGTCCTCTGTGTACAAGAGTTGTACTTGTAAGCTCATAGTGGTTATGACACCACAAACAAGATCTACACAAGTTTAAGGCACACATGCAAAATTAGATAGGCAGCATTAATAGAACTGGATGACTTTTAAAAAATGAGAAAACAAAGTTGGATGGGTGAGATGAGAGGTAAACCTGGGAGAAGATGGGGGAGGGGACAAGACAGTCAAGATGCAATGTATTCTCAGAGTTAATAAAATATGTTTTTAATTTTTTAAAGAGAAACTTCAAGATAAATGGAGTGAATATATTTTCTCAGTCGCCTCAAGTTGACAAGAGCCCTAGAAGGAGGAGAATTTAGGGGACATTCGTGGAAGCCGATGTAGACCAGGCAGGCTATGTTTCTTGAGGTGTCTGAACTTAAGTGAATCGGGTTTCAGATTCCCACTCCTTCACTATGTAGAGGATCTAGCTTTGATGGGTTTGTGTATGCATACGGAGAGACCTGTTCAGTAGGTCACACTCTAGAACCCATTTTATACACAGACACACTGAGAACTGAGTTTCTCCAGTTACTTTGTCCAGGAAGAGGTAGGGCTGCTGGGAATTTAATATAGGTCTCTAACTGCCCTCTCTCTCTCTGTTGAAGACAGCAAGATCTAGACCTAGCCAGAGTCCATATAAGGGGAAAAGAAGTCTTTTGAAGGCCTCTGCTGTAGTAGATATTGCGTCAATAAAGGTTTTTCTTTCCCTGAAACAAGCCCGTATCTCATTTCCCAAGAACTGCTGAGCAAAGCCATGGGTAGTTGCCAAAGCCCAGATGTCCAAAAGCAGTGCACGAATTGCTCTCTCTGCTTCAGCATCTCACTGGAACAATCAGTCCCAGATGTCCTGGGACTCCGCTGTGTTCCGATGTGCTCTAGTGTGCTTTCCCCCACCTCCTGCAGGAACGTAGTGAAACAATCTCTGGACTGCCATGGCCAGCAGCCTGAATTCTTGTCTTTTGGAGCCTATGCAAAGGAGTTAGAGCAGATGGGCCACTTGAAGTGGGAGTTAATTCCAAGGCAGAACAATAGTTGCAAGGGCACAAAGGGATTCTGTAAGATTTCAGTGCATAGAACAGGCAGAGAAAACTTCAGATTTGGAAACAAACCTGGAGATTGTTTAGTTTAAATTGTACCTGAGTCACAAACGCACTTTATTTTTGTTTGTTTTTGTTGTTTTGTTTTGTCTTTAGAGACAGGGTTTTTCTTTGTAGCCTTGGCTATCCTGGAACTCGTTTTGTAGATCAGGCTGGCCTTGAACTCACAGACATTCACCTGCCTCTGCCTCCTGAGTGCTGGGATTAAAGGTGTGCGCCACCACCGCCCGGCTATGCACTTCAATTTTAACCATTCATAAATCAGGCTCTTAGGAATGAGCACTATGCTTCAGGTATTTTCCTTTCAGAGAAAACACACACATAAACAGTTTAAAATTATGCTGTAGCACACTTTTAATAGAATTATAAATGAAAATGATGGGGAATAAATTGTGAAGCCAGAACTTGAGTGTAAACTTTGTGCAGGAAGGGTCCAAGGTCTTCAAATGTAGGTAGACAACTGTAGCCCCAGATAGAAAAGAAGCCAGAGAGGGTCTTCCAAGCAGTGTGAACAAAAGCTCAGTGTCCTGGAGATGGTTGGTATTTCTCAGGGAAGCAACTAGTCTTGACTTATTCTAGTTTAAGGTGCATGAGTAATAACGTGCTGCCAATAAGCTTGGGATGAAATACTAGGACCACACTATGGGGCTTTCCCATAAACTATACCAATTATTTTAGGACTTATTTAGATGGCAACTATCGAAGAACTTTGAACAGGATATGATAGCCAGTTATCAGCTTTCAGACATTAACTCTGATAGCAAAGGGCCTGAAAGATAGTACCTAGGGAGAAATAAGGAGAGCCCTTAGAGGGCAGATGCCACAGCCCAAGAGCGGTGGTGTGATCTCTAAGTACCTAAGCTATAGTGAAAGCGTGTATAGAGGGTAGACTGAGAAACATTCTATAGTCTATGTTGACCAACTTTGAAAGCAATTAGACGTGAAGTGTGGCAGGGGCAAGAAACAAAGGAGGCTTTAAAGTCTCTGGCTTGGGCTGGAGAGATGGCTCAGCAGTTAAGAGCACTGACTGCTCCTCCAGACATCTTGAGTTCAATTCCCAGCAACCTATTGTAGATGGTGGCACAACCATCTATAATAGGATCTGATGCCCTCTTCTGGTGTAAAGGTGTACATGCAGATAGAGCACTCATAAAATTTATTTATAAAATAATTTATAATTTATTTATAAAATAAATAAATCTTTAAAAAAAAAGAAGTCTCTGGCTTGACCACTACATGAATACAATGAACAGTGCTGGCAGAGGAGAGAAGACTATCTTGGAGGATGTCTAGGACCTAGGGAGATAATGATTTCCATGTTGCATATGCTATGTTTGAAGTACTCCCTGTACACCCACTTGGCAATGTCCTGTAAATCTACTTGGCAATGTCTAGTAAGCTGCGGGCAGTTTGGAACAAGAGCTCAAGGAGATATATTCTGAAGCTTATGAGATAGATAAAATAATCTACAGAATGTGTGTATATGTGAAACAATAGGACTTGGAAAGAACTCTGGAGAGCACGCATGCTTATTTTGGAGATTGTAGCATGATGATTTAATACCTTAGCAATGGGACACAAATTTGAGCTTTCATATTAACAGTAAGACTTCCTAACTCTCACTTTATCCCTAAAATAAGAGCACTCTATCTAAGCATTTAATATATGGCAGACACATAGCTTCCATGAACTGTAGTAGTAGTAATAATAACAACAATAAGCATTATTGGCTGGGCAGTGGTAGCACAGGACTTTAATACCAGCACTCGGGAGGCAGAGGCAAGCGGATCTTGATGATTCCAAGGCCAGCCTGGTTTACAGAGCTAGTTCTAGGACAGCCAAGGCTATACAAAGAAACCCTGTCTTAGGGGGTGCATGCAACTGAACAGTGAGCATACACGATTTCTAATCTCAAGCAGCATTAACAAAGATGAGTGTTAGCCTGTTATTTGTGATAATGGAAACTACAGTTATTATAAGCCCAATATAAGGGGAGTCAGCCTTCTTTATACTCTATTAAAAGACTTGTTATACTACCTTTTTGTTGAGTATTTTGGGAGGAAAAAAATGAGTAAAATGTTTAAATGCATGTGTCTCATGACTCTAAACTATGGCTCAGACTCTGTCTTTTGAGATCCTTACACAAATGATGTGCATGTCTGTCTGCATCTTCCTTAAAGACTTCTTTCATAAGAAAAAAATGGTAGAAAAACTTAATATCAACCAGAAGAAACAGTGGTATATGTTTATTTTCATATAGCATGATCATTCAAAAACATGGGTTGTAGATTTGGAGAGTCACAGAAAATACCTCAGATATATTGAAAGGAATAAGAAAAAATACATATTGGTTTTTATAAATATATGATTAGTAAAGATAATAGTATTATGTCTGGGCCATTTGAGTGTGGAGACTTTCTTTATGCTATATACTTCTGTTATTTTATATTAAATTTTATGACATGCATTTTATTTGTGATGATAGATAAACTCAAGCATGTGACACAAGTGTCAATGTTAAGAGATAATTCAATGTAGCAGTAAGAATTGGGATTACACCAATGGCTGGGTTACAGCCATTGTTACAGCTCTATTGTGTATTACCATTTGGTCTTGGACAAATCACTGATCAGTTTCCTCATCCATGAACTAGGGATAAGCACAGAATGCCCAATTCATATGGTTGTTGTAAGTAAATGAGTTAATGTGAGGAGAACTGTTTGGAAAGACATCTGGCATGGAGCATGTGATAATTAGAGATGATGATGATAATGATGGCAGATGTGAAGTGAGTGGGGACTAATAAAAGTCATTCTACTGGCAAATAGGAAATCCCCATTTACTAAGATTAGCACGAACTCTATTAGTAGAACAACTTTTTGAGATTGTCTGTCCAGTACCTGATTAAACATGTTCCATAATGAGAAAGTCACTTACTACCTTGCAGACTGGTCCTTCTATTACAAGAGAGTCCTAACTATAGAATAATTTAGACCACAGACTAAATGTTGTGTTACAAAGCTGTTTGAATCTCATTCATTCCAACACTTTTCACATACAAATTATCCTAAATTTCAGCTTTCTTTAATGAGGGGTCAAATAGAATCTATACTATACAAACATAATGCAGAGTGAGAGTATTTACACAAAGCACTTTGCACCAGCATGTAGTAGGCAAAATGAGATTAATAGATATTGGCTGTGACTATTAATCCAGACTGATTGGCAGTGAGAAAGCATGGAGTATCACCTTCATTTTCATCCTAGTCAAATATCTCTGGGACAACTGCAAACCGAGAAGTTATGTTGAAAGAGTTTTTTGATGAATTTTGAAGCTATATATGCCAACAGAGGGGGTAAAAAAAAAGTTTCCTTTTTACAAGAGAAAGAAAGCAGGTACCACAGAGTCCATTGACCTATCAGGGCCCAAGCATCTTTTTCTGTTTTTAAATAAATTTTATTATAAAAACTTGTGGGGTAGGGGACTGGCATACACCAAACCTAATGTCAATACATCTTAATGACATCTAACTTCTATTCAGTTAGAGTAGCCATTCTGAAGCTCTAGAACTTGACATTGGATTTTACTCTTTTAATATCAAATGTATTTAGTGGCTTTATTCACCACCCAGAAAGGAAAAAAATCTATGACATAATTAGAACTAGAGAAACTATTAGCTTTACATCTTCTTTCAGAGCTCATGTCCATTACCTGCATTCCGTCCTTCCTCATCTTGGGCATGTAAACACAATGGAGCAGCTGCTTCTGGGCTGGGAGGCTGGGAGAGGAAAGGTGAAGGAATGAAGCGTGAAAACCACCTTTGTGAAATTAAAAGGGAGAGTATTTGGTCAGTATGAGAGAGTGAGAAGGACCATTGGCTTCAGGGTCCAGACACTAACTGGCAACAGCTTTTCCAGATCAGGATTCAAGCACTAGCTTGATACAGTGGCTCACATGGAGAAGAAAAACTTGGGAGCCTTTAGTTCTCTGCCTTCAGATCTCCTTTATGGCAAACAGTGACTCCTAAGCCACTAGGAGGCAGTTCTGGGGGTTCCTTGTCTTTGGCAGAACCACGGGGAGATGGATAGTCCACAGCCATTCTTCCTTGCCCACAAAATGGACAAGTAGGAGGGTCTAGTGTGGAATAGGACAAGACAAGTTCACACACTTCATTTCATGGTATCTCTCTGTTATTAACTTCCTGGAGTGGTACTTGCAGGTCAACAGCAAAGTTCCAGCTTTGGTAGTGTTTGGTTTATTGGCATTTTCTGCCATACGCTGTGGGCAGGGGAATACCTATACTATCAACAATTATTTGCTATTCAGGGGTAGAGAAAAGAATACTGTCCTCTGAGGCAGTGACCCTCCTGTGGGATAGCAATTATGCTCCGAGTCACTCATACATTTTGGACTCAGTCTACCTGTCTTATGCATGCCTTTAACATCTGGTAAGCACCTACTAAATAAGATAGAGCCAGAGAGGTCAGAGGTTAGCAACATAAATAAAACATTTCATTCACCATAAGGGGATAGCCTTCAGCGCAGGAAATAGCTCAAAGAAACTATAAAAATACAAAACATGAGTTCCAGATTAGAGCCCCCTGTGCAGCGAGGATAAGGAGGAGACAGTAGCTAGAGGACCCAGAAAAGCCTTCAGAGTGTAACCACTGAGCTGTTTCCCAAAGGGAAAGTTCATGCAGACCGAAAAGAGAACTCATTCCAGGAAGGAAGAAAAGTGTATGCAAAGACAAAGCAGAATGAAGGAGGGCAGTGCCTGGAAAGAATGGTAAGTACTTAGCTCTTGCACAGGGCTGCACTTTCAACTAGCGGATGCTGACTCCAAGAGATGCACACAGGCTACCTGGGGAAGGACAAAGAACTGTGGTAGCAATCAGCTTAGAAAAAAACCAAGCAGTAATAAATAAAGTGATGTGGGCTGCTTTGCCTCAGGCCTTTGAATATACTAGATTCTCTACCTACACCTTTAGAGCACATTATTATTAATGCTGTATTTTTATGTAGCTGAATTATTTTTGAGACAGTAATTTAAATTTTAGCAAGTGAAACTTTATACTATCTTTAGGACCAAAATAGACGACGATGGTTTTGTTCAAATCAAAGGATGTAGGACATACTTGATCTGAGGGTTCAAGAATGATTTTGCAGTTTGATAAAGAATTTGGGTCCTACTTTAGGGCATGATGAAGTCTTAGGATAGCAGTTATGTCAACAACCAACTATTTATCTGATCATAGAAACTTGATTTTAACATGTCCCTATGAACTAATTGTTCCTCATGATTCACAGTGGTTAAGAGTAGCTCAAAAGCTGGACATGGTGGCACCTGCCTCTAGTCCCAGCTGCTTGGGAGGTGGCAACAGACAGATCACTTAAGCCTTGAGGTCAGCCTTGGCAATGCAGTGGGCCACAGTTTCACTGTCACTCTGGAAACAGGGAGGCCTGGATTCAAACTACTAATATTTCTAGTTACATGTAATCCCATTTGGCTTTTCTATAAAATAGAGATGAAAACCTTACCTGTGGGGGACCCCCCCCACCTTCCCCCCAGGGTACTCTTGAGGAGTGAGGGATAAGAGATTTAGCTAGAAATATAGAGGGGAGAGAGACAGATAGAAACACAGGATAGCCTCAGGAGGGCCTGGATCCTTATCCACTGGCCCCTTGTGTCTCTTCTAAAGGGCTTTTTATAGGAGTGCCAAGGGGTGGAGCAAAAGACCTCCCCCTAGCACAGCCAAGTGCAGACCCTTCCAATCAGCTGGTAACCATACATGTGGTCAATCCACCCCCTTATGCAGCCCTTTTGGGTAGAGCAAGCTCAGATCTCACTAGCAAACCTCTGTGGGCTCCCACACTTATCTGTGTCAGGATTGCTGTAAGAAATAGATAAAGCACTTGCAAAGTGTTGGCCCACAGTAACCATGTACTAAATTAACAGCTATTTTTATTATCGTGATTTTATGATCTTTGCGTTACAGCATTGATGCTTAAAGCAAATGGGGCAGGGGCTGGCTGCTTGGAAAAACTAATACCAAGCTAATGTAGAAAACATTTTGTTGGTTAGCGTTTCAAAAGAGATCCAGAACCCCTGAAAACAGAAAATGTAAATAGTTTGAAATAAACACTTAAACCTCAAACAGAGATTGATTATTATGCCCAGTGCAAAGTCGGTCTTGCAACACAGAGGCTTTTGCGCAGGGGAATCCTGCCACCAAGTGGTGGCTGACTTCTGGTTACTATCCTAGCAGTCGCAGTCCTCAGATCTGTGGCCACCTCTGATTTGGTGTGACCCTTGAACGGAAGTAAATCTGTGCCTGTTTCCCCTGCTAACATGCTCTCCTTTACTGACTAGGTAACTAAAGCCACAGGTAATTCCCTGTACGTTAGGCAGGAGTAGTCAGAGCATGAAACAGTCTTTAGTGACACTGTACATGTACAACCCCAAGTTCCTTGCAAACTTGTGTATCAGATTTCTGCAGAATGTAGTAACTCCATCCCTCCATGGGCTATGAAAATCACCCTTTTTGTAGACTTGAGGCATAAACAGTGTCTGAAAATCACTCTTTGCAGAAACTTTGTGGATAAGTATTTTGGCCCATACTTCTAAGCTAGCTCAGCTCTTCCAGTATTAGGAAAGAGTATAGAAGCCTTAATGGCCAGAAACAGGCAAGGTGGGTCCTCTATGGCTTACGGTATACCTCTGGGATTTGAATCTCTGTGCTCTTCAGAAATTATTTGAAAATCCTGAAGTATACTGGATAAATGAGGTAGGTTTTTCTCAGCTGCTATTAAACATGATGTAGGGAGTTGTTACCCAGACTTTGCCAACTAAGTCCAGGGAAGAGCTTCTTGGTCTTTTAGGAGGAATGCAAGGCTCTGGTCCTGTTTTGGACATGTTTAAAGACTCAGCAGGGTTGAGTATGGTAATGGGAAGTCATAGGATACTGTCCTTGCCTCAGGATGAGCACACAGCCTTTCCACACAGAGGCAGTGATGTGGTGTGGGAGGGCTGTCATCCAAGGGAAGAACCTAGACAATGAAAATGCTTTTCTCTTTCCTTCTAGGTCTCACGTAATCAGTGAATTAAGAAGTCTACATAAGCTAGCCAACAATAAAAACAACTTTGTTGCTAACCCAAATTCTAGAGTGCAGAATGTGTTTATCAGCATGGACAGCAGTGGCAGAGCCAATGTGGAAGAGATTTTTTTTTTTTTTTGAGACAGGGTTTCTCTGTGCAGCTTTGGTGCCTGTACTGGATCTCGCTCTGTAGACCAGGCTGGCCTCAACTCAGGGATCCACCTGGCTCTGCCTCCCGAGTGCTGGGATCAAAGGTGTGTGCCACCACCGCCCGGCCTTTTTTTTTTTTTTTAAACTAAGAATTGTATTCTAAAGATTCTTGAGGAAAAAGTTCCACCTCACAGCATTGTAGGTGGGATGTGTAAGAGCTAGAAACTGAAGCCTTGATCTATAACTCGGTAAAGAAATCTTTGGATCGCGCTTTGTCTAGGTTGGACTTCATGTCACTTTTAGGAATTTGCTCTTATTATGACTCTTCTCACTTTTTTTTATTGTAATTCATTCCTTTAAGTCTGTACTTTCCACCCCCAAGATACTGTGGGTTGAATAGAGCCACATGCAGCTACACCACATACCCAGTCCTCACTTTAAAAATTATACAGTACCGCCGGGCGGTGGTGGCGCACGCCTTTAATCCCAGCACTCGGGAGGCAGAGCCAGGCGGATCTCTGTGAGTTCGAGGCCAGCCTGGTCTCCAAAGCAAGTTCCAGGAAAGGCGCAAAGCTACACAGAGAAACCCTGTCTCGAAAAACCAAAAAAAAAAAAAATTATACAGTACCTTACTAAGCAGTTGATCAATGGACATCCTAATAAACTATTTGGAAGTGGTTTTAGTCACAGCCTGTTTAAGGTTACTAAAACGTCTTTGTGAGTAATGTCTGAGTCTCCTGAGACATTTGCCCTGATATGATCATATATCAGAATCAGAATGGACTTTATTTTATAAATGAAAAAATTACGGGTAGGACAAGAGATATTAAGGGATTGTGTCTAAGGTCAGTTATTCCTTCCACGTTGCCTCCAGCAGGCTGGATTTAAAAATCTTTAGAAAAGGGTGGCCTGGGAAGGTGGCTCTATTCCTAAAAGTGCTATCTGTGTAAGCCTGACTACCTGAGCTGGATCGTTGAACACACGAGAAATAAAAAGCTGGATGCGGGGACCTGATTCTGAAATCCCAGCACTCCTAGGGTGAGATGAGAGGCACACAGGAGAGTCATCTGGAAGCAGAAGCTGATAAGCCAGCCAGCCTGGTATGCAGCCCTGCAACAGAAATAAGGGAGACTCTGGGCCAGCCGGGTCCAAGGCAAGAAGACTCTCGAAAGTTGTCTTCTCACTTCCACACAGGCGTCATGGTGTGTGCCCCTCCCCCCCCACACAAATAAGCAATAAATCTTTAGAAAAGGTTTGTGAAAACATACCTCAGCTGATGAACTGTCTAGGAAAAGAAATGGGCATTATTGAATTATATTATTTTTCATGTATAAAAAGGCAAGACAGAAATTTCACAGCAGTTTACACAACTTTAAAATTTTTTTCTCCCTGGGCCTGGAGAGATGGCTCAGAGGTTAAGAGCACTGGTTCTGAGTTCAATTCCCAGCAACCATATGGTAGCTCCTAACCATCTATGATGAGATCTGGTGCCCTCTTCTGGCATGCAGGCAGAAAACTGTGTACATAATGCAT